AATGTACATACACACTTAAAAAATTGAAAATACCTTTATTCATTTCTTTTCTTTATCTACAAAATGATATAAAGGCCTATGACAGCTATTTTTAGCATTTTTATTATTTTATTTCTACATCGTCCACTTTTACTTTTGATATCTAAATTACCATTTGACTTTAGTACATCATTCATACCTAAGATCAACAATATCTATACTAGACAACAATAACTAGACCTCACCTCAACAAAGATGAAAAAAGTATTACTTAAACTAACAATAAATAACATTGTATTGTAAGATTATTAGAGTTATAAATAAAATACAATTTTATTTGTTCGTAAATATAATATGTCATGTTCCGTGAACATAAGTATAATAACATGTCAAATGATTGACCAATCATCTAATGGCCAGATCTTGAAGTTGGATACATGTTGATGTTAAAACATATCTTATCTAGCTCTTATATTGGTCAAACGGCTACCTCACCTTCTAACGACCTCTGGTGGATTTTTCGGAACTACGTTATGTTTGATGCCATATTGTCTTTTGTTTTTATTTGGGATTTGAGGAAAGTTGAAACATAATAGGCTTGACAAAATAAGCGATACGCCACCTACAGTTTTAATTTGAAACCTTCCAGTGGGCCATTAATGTTTTGTTTACTCATGTGATTCAAGCATAATATAGGTTAATCTTACGGTTTCTGTTTGTATATGGTGTTTTAAAGACGTTTAATTGATAAAATTATTGTTTATTTTATCAAAATGAACCATCACTGTTGTGTTCCCATGTGTTCCTCTTGGGTAAAACTAAATAAAGAACTTAGTTTTCATACATTTCCCAAAAAAGGACAACGTGTTTTGGTAGAAACAAAATTAGGGAAACCAGCTGTTGATCGGAGGGAGGAATGGATAAGAAAATTAAAAATTGGAAAGCCTGTGAGTCCGTACATGAGAGTATGTTCATTGCATTTCTCTGAAAACGATTATTTTTGTAGAGGTTAGTATTTAGTCGTTTTTCTGTTTCCGTATTAATAGTTTTTGTTTGTAGGGGACAGCTCTAAATTACATAGATTAAAATTTAATGCAGTACCGTCTAGGAAGTTACATTTGGAAGATAAAATAGTATTATGTATTTAGGTTATGGGTTAATGTAATATAAGGTAAACATACTTTTGGGACATACAGATAGGAAACGCAACGACCGCATCAACTATGGCGTCATCTATGCGTCTCAGATGTTAACTAAAGGTACACACCGTTTGTAGACAGACAATAGACGTGGATAGCAGTAGACAGTTTGTAAATATAAATGTCAATTAGTGGTATGTATATCATAGAATCCTGAATTTGATTTTTAAATTTTGATTTCATGATTGTGTTATCCTCTAGATGAACTAAGCGAAATGGTTGTGGAATAAGAAAGAATAAGAAAGAATAAGAAAGAATAAGAAAGAATAAGAAAGAATAAGAAAGAATAAGAAAGAATAAGAAAGAATAAGAAAGAATAAGAAAGAATAAGAAAGAATAAGAAAGAATAAGAAAGAATAAGAAAGAATAAGAAAGAATAAGAAAGAATAAGAAAGAATAAGAAAGAATAAGAAAGAATAAGAAAGAATAAGAAAGAATAAGAAAGAATAAGAAAGAATAAGAAAGAATAAGAAAGAATAAGAAAGAATAAGAAAGAATAAGAAAGAATAAGAAAGAATAAGAAAGAATAAGAAAGAATAAGAAAGAATAAGAAAGAATAAGAAAGAATAAGAAAGAATAAGAAAGAATAAGAAAGAATAAGAAAGAATAAGAAAGAATAAGAAAGAATAAGAAAGAATAAGAAAGAATAAGAAAGAATAAGAAAGAATAAGAAAGAATAAGAAAGAATAAGAAAGAATAAGAAAGAATAAGAAAGAATAAGAAAGAATAAGAAAGAATAAGAAAGAATAAGAAAGAATAAGAAAGAATAAGAAAGAATAAGAAAGAATAAGAAAGAATAAGAAAGAATAAGAAAAGAAAGAAAAAGAAAGATGAAAAAAGTTTTATTTAAATAAAAGATAAGTGTGAATGGAATAGGAAGGAGAAGTTAGCAGGAAGAAGAATTCGTCAGAAGGAGGAGTAAGAGAAGAAAGTAGAGAAAAACAGCAAGAGGAGACCAGACGGGAGAACAGGAGTTAGAACAGAAATCAGAAGAACAGGGAACAAGAAAAATGGAGCGAAGCGGATGATTTAGATTTTTAAAATTTAATATTTTTATCGATTAGTATTTTTTTTAGTTCTTTTTTTGAAATTTTTGTGGGAAGCCAAAAGAGTCATAACCCTCAAATCTCTAGGATATTGGAGTGGTTTAACCTTTCCAAGCTAAAATAATTATAGTATATATGCGCGAGTGAGTACTCGTACTCGTTACTCGTCAGCTGAAGGAATAAAAAGTACTGAATAATCCAAAATATAAAGTACTCGAAATTTTTTGAGTATAAGTTCTATCAGAATGAAAGTACTTACGAGTACCAATTACTGAGTACTTTAGGTAATGAAGTACAATTCTGAGTGCAATTTACTCGAGTACTGCCCAGCTCTGATTAATATACGCCAAAAATATACTTTAGACATTCCAAAATTTTTATAGCAAATTTATTAATATTGACAATGTAGGCCAAACACTCAGATAAAGATGTAGAAGGTTCAGAAAGTATTGCCGATGTATTTGCTGTATATTGTTTCTTCAAAGCTGAAAAATGTCAAACATTGATCACTTTAGTAAATTTCAAGCCGATTTTAAATACATTATTCTGTATTATATTTCGATTTTCAGAAAATTCCAGACATATTTTATGTACTATGTTCTATACCTAACTGATTCAGAAATATTAAATATTTTCCGATTTATTACAAAAATTAACATTAATAAAGTAAAATTATTTGATTACAGAAATTCGTTATTTATCAACATAGCCATGACCGTCTGACAGAATTAGTCTGTAACTGATTTGTTTTGTATTCGCTGTTATTTTTCTTTTTGTTTACTTTGTCAATTGGCCTTGTCAGCAAAGTCTCTTTATCGAACTTGCCTGGGGGGGGGGGGGGGGCAACGGGGGAACAGTGCAACGGGGGAACAGTGCAACGGGGCAATTGCCTTCCTTGAGAATAATAATCTTAGTAGTTAATACATATGATATGGGCGCCGCTGCACGAAAGCAAGGGGGACGTCTGCCTCTTGGATTTGTGATTTTAGATGTTTTGCCATGGCTTTCGACTATAGCCTACAACGTTTTGACTTCCTATAAGATTTGATCCCCTGAAAATGTTTTAAATGGTGCCCACGTCTGTGACCGATAAAATCTAATGAATAAAAATCAGCCTCCGCCATATGAACCCAGAAAATTGTCCTTGGGAAAGTTCTAATAATAATATTAATAATAATACTCTCCCTAATTCACCCCCTTACGAGTGAATTTTAACCCCAAAAGCTGAACTTGTGCGGGGAAAGGGATGGCTATTATTATTATTTGCCGTGGCACTCCGGGGCGACTTAAAGATGTTTGATGGTGCCATTTGACTTACAGGTGAGGAAAACGGAAAACCTCACCCACCGTCATCGAGACAGTAATGCACGACGATTTTATAATCTTCATGTCATATCAACAGAAATTGAATTTCTATTAATACGGCACACATCAAATCCTAATCCTATACCGAACCATGCAATTTAATTAAAAATCCACATAGTCCGGTGTAGGATTCGAAGCCCCTCTGTCTCTGACCACAAACTTGCCTATAAATGAATATATGCGCGTGAGACCGCTACACCACCGCCCCGATGGATTCGCCTCTGCATTGTAGATCGTAATTAATTTTTTTCTACACCATGTGAGTGAATATTGTTTTTTGGGTGAAACCGATGACCACTTGCACCCATGCATTCTCTTCGCCTGGTCTTATAGCCGGTTGCAACAACGTCATAAATTACTTTTAAAATAGCTATTTTATCCTAATAGGTACTTTCAAATATTTTTTAAGTTTTGAATATTTTCGTTAGCAGATTGTAGAAAAAATATACTATACAACTCGACTCGAGTGGATTCTCCTTATCGCGGGATTATTTCCGAGGGTCCTCTCGCAGTCGATGTTTATGATCATAATCCACTCTTGTTGCACAAACTACTATTACAAGTAGTCTAAGGTAAGATATCTACGTAAACTAATGTACTACTGATAATACTCTTAATTTTCAAAAATAGGTATTTCCTAAAAAGATACCTAGATATATATTAGGTAGGTAGGTAGGTATATAGAGTAGGTATCTATCCTAACAATGAAATAATTTATGATCAAATTCTTTAGAGTACTTATTTTATCAGTTAAAATTCTTTCAAATTAATAGTCTACTATTATTTTAGATTCAATCGAATCACTTTTAAGTATTTGTACTAATCGAAATTGAAATATTATATAAAAATCTTAAAAATAAAATTCAATAGAAGTGGTGACCTCTGGCGATGAGTAGCATAAAATCAAAACAGTTGTTATGAAAATAACAATGTTTCCTATTTGAATAGTCAATATAATAGCTAAAATCCAGCGATAGGTGGCAAAAGGTGTTATGAATAATTTTACAGTTTTATATCCTAAATCATTCAAGTATCTTGCTGAAAGTAAGTGATACATTTTACCTGTACACTTTAAAATAGTTTTGTTTTTTTTTATTATTATTTTACAGCTTAATACCAAGAATGTTTTATTAGTCATGCTAGCGACCTCTGTTGTGAAGAAATTAACCTATTATTTATTGCGTATTTTCTACTCGAGTCAATTTTCTGTCAACAAACGTCAACTTTGCCTGACTGTCAGTTTTGTTTTTAACAACACCGTAACATGATTCATTTTTGTATGCAAATTTCTAATTTTTTTAAAATATAATTAGATAAGTACTAGGTAAGCAAGAGAAACCGTTTTTCGAAACACTATTATGTAGAAAAATTGACAAAACACCGTGTTTATTCGTTAATTTATTGTAGAAATATGGAAGATTGTGTGGAAGACTGTGAAGAGATTTTTTCCCAAGACGGAGTATTGCTCAAACAGGCTCCTGCTTCACACATTACGTTCGTTAACACAATTGGGACTTTATATTTATCTGAATCTTTGAATTCTAACAAAAAGAGATTTATTGAATGGAAACCAAATGATATTACTGTAGATTCAGACATCCAGGATCAAGAGTGGGCTGTAGTAAATACGATTCAAAAAAGAACGAGAACTTTGAGTGGAAATTACCCTGCTGATTATCAAAACAGGATCAAATGTATCAAATTCAATTTTGAGGAAATCAAGAGTTTTCGTGTAGCGAATAAAAGTAGACAAATATCTTTCTATGATGGAAAAGCAGACTGTCTTTGTATCTTTGGTTTTCAACACGGCAATTCAGACACCCTACTAGCTATATTAAAGAGGATGTTGAGAATTAGTGTGTCAAAAAGAGACAAACATTTGTACATAGTTTATGATGCCAATTTTCCAGAATTTCAGCAGTTAGATAAGTCATTTGCTGAGTTAAATATCCAAAGGGATTCGAGGACATTGTGGAGTGTGTTTAGAAATCTCAAGGACCATCCGTATGAGGCTACTTTTGAAGCTTTCGCTAAAGTTACAGATTATGGTGAGTAAATGCATGTTTACAAACATTTTTTTATTGAACAAGTCGATAGATAGTATTACTTTTTTTTTAATACATACTGTATTTTGATGTGGAGGTTGTATAAGTTCACACAATTTAAATGATATTAATTTCATTAGTCACTGAGTATGCAAACAATGGGGAATTCTGCTATAAATAGAAAATATATAAATAATGAAAAGTGTTGAAATATACATATAAGAAAAGAAATTACTGGGTGGTTTAAATTGAGTAAGAAAATCTGGTGTTTAAATGGTAGTGGTAACTTTAATGTTGTTTCATCTTCAGACTGTTGTGCCTCTAGGCCTACATCTACCCAACTATGGTCCCTTTTATGAGGATTAGCCTACTCGTTCTTTTAACATGCCAGAGCCAGGAATATAGTGTGCTATGTTAATATCTATTTGTGTATTAAGACCAGAAAGTGCTACTTTACCACCTGAGATAAAAAGTTACACGCAATACACTAAGGATGTTACCAAATTCAAATTTTTCTACAATGTTTATTTGACAGGCAAACTTTTTGACACATACACTGTTTTATGTTTTAATTTAACAAACAAAATAGGTATCAATTCAAAATTATAAAAAAAAAATTCCTGGTGAGGATTGAACTCATGACCTTAATGTTAGGAAACTAATTCTTTGCCCTCTGCATCAACCAGACATCTCAAGTTTACAGGTTGAAAACAGGGTAATCTATTTTTTATTTCAATTATCGTTTAAATATTAAGGGAAATGTGTTTGCATATTTGATGTTCATTTAAAATATTCAGATTAGGTAGTCTTCATTTTGTTTTAAAAATCTTGATTAACTTTAATAATGACTAGGGTATGATCCGTTATTAACTGAAATATCGGTTACACTGTCCAAAACCAACCCCTCTGCTTGACATTCCTGAAAAATCGGTTAAATTAGGGACGCCTTTCCTGAAAATGGTGACTCAAACGTCAATTCACTAACCGCTATATTTTTACGGTTACCATTAAGTCAAAAGTGACGTAAATCTCAGCTGTGGTTCAAATGTAACCAAGAAATTAATTTTTTCAGGAACTGCTGTCAAGTAATCCTGGTTCCTTGTGGTTAGTAGTTGGTTAATAAAGGACCATACCCTTAAAGTGCTAATAAAGTTAATGACAGATCGTGGAAAACATCAACTTTCTACTTAGTTAAATTTGAATGTACAAAAGTCGTACTTTTGATAGTGTTTGTAGAAATAATCATTTGTTTGGCATTTGAAAAGTTTATGACCTAAAATAAATTAAGATGCATGAGATGAAAAATAAAATTAATTTTTTAAATATTTTGATAAATAAATATTATAATTTGTGCTAAAAAGTTTTTAAAATAGACTCTAAAAAGTAAGAGTCATACCTGTGATATAAGAAAAATTTCTCTGATTTTAGGTTAATTTAGGTTATGATTTGGAAATGTTAACATGTAATAAATACATACTATTGTATGTAATGAAACAAAATTATCATAAGGAAAATCCTAATAAGAAAGGCATGTTTTGATAGAAGAAAAAAACATTTCTTTATTCTTATTCAGTATTTGGTCATTATCTACTTACCTCTTTTTGCTTATGAAAAAAGGTACCACTTTTGAAAACAAAAAATATTAGTTCCATATCTTGTGAAAATTAATAATAATAATACAATTAATCCTGTCTGTATATGCAGATAGTAAAAGTATAGGAATCATGTTTTTTCCACCTGGAGTTTTTGACAAATTTTTTTTTTTATAAAAATTTCACAAACTGTTTCTAATCAAAACACACAGATGCTACTCTTATGTATTATGCAGTTGCCATGTCTTACAAAAAGTTTACTATCCTATTATTTATTGTAGAATGTACAATATTTTAAGGTAATTGTTGACATTGTTTTACCTACCCACTACCTCTAGACACTCTCTTGTAAATTGAAAAGACAATTTTTTTATTTAAAAAAATTATTTTTGTTAGGTATTATTAATTTGCACAAGATGTGCTTAAGTTTTTTTTTGTTTACAATAGCAATACCTAAAAGTATGTATGCTTAGTTTTTCATATTCAAAAAGAGGTCAAACTAAATATTTTCCTTGTATTTACTCTACTTTAGCTTAATAATTTAGTTTTGTTTTTCTATTATTATTTATTTAGTGTTATGACTTTAGTTACTGTAACAGCCCACCCCCTATACCCCTTTTTGTTCGTTATTTTATTTTAGTTTATACTTACTGTATTTGGCCGTTTTCCTCTAGTAGTAAAAGTGATCGTCTAGCTAATTAATTGATAATTTATATACCCACGTTGTGATAATGTTAATTAAGGTAAACCAGGATTCGATGCAAAGTTTGGTGCAAATTGATAAATAAAACATACAAATTCATATTTAAACTCTTTTATTTTTCATACTTTAAATGTGATGCAATCATTAGCAAAGTATATTACAATTTGTACTATTTACTGAGATCTCACTTGAGTTCGGTTCAACAAACGCAGAGCACGTTCATTTGCTAGCAAGATATATTTTATTTAGGTTGATGACCAATGGAGTTAAAGAACAGCGTCAATTCGCCAGTTGGTTAACTACTATGTTGTTGTTTATGTTCTTATTTAGGTTGATGACCAACGGAGTTAACGAACAGCGATAATTCGCCAGTTGGTTAACTACTGTGTTGATGTTGATTTGATTCTATTCTAGATATACACAGGTTGTACCCTCTTAGGTAAATATTTCGACGAGTATAGAGGTGATGACCAACGGAAGTAACGAACAGCGCCAATTCGCTAGTTGGTTACCTTACTATGTTGATTTCACATATACTTTGTTTCAAACCTTGTAAAATGGGTGGCATAGCGTATAGGTGTCCCCCCTTGAGCTAACGAACAGTGTATTCACCAGTTGGTTAACTTACTATTAAACTTTACCATATCGGTTTGAACAATTTATCCAAGATAGCACATCCCTGTATATTTCTAAAATATTGATTTTTATCATTTCTATTGAGATGTTGTCTCTCGGTATGACCTGAAAGCCATGTAGTTTATTGGTTACATTGATAATATTTTGCAGAAAATGTGGTCCTCGTTTAACCCTTTCTGTCCCGGGCCTTAATTTACATGTTGGTCCCAGAGGTTTTTTCATGCTACAATATGATAACAAATATATACGGCAATGGGTCCGCAGGACCTGTCCTAGGTGCCAACATTTTGCGGCTTTGGGACCAATAATCTAACATTTTCGGACATATTTCTACGGCATTGGAACCCCAATGGGCCTAAAATTTTATAAGTAGCGCATATTTTCGGCTTTGGTGAATTGAGACCATTCCACCTTGAACGTATATATACGGCAGCTGGGACTACAGACCCACTTTTTAAAAAACATATATATGCGGCGTTGGGACAGAAAGGCTTAAACGAAACCCCGGTGATATCTCAAAGAAAGTTACATAAATCTTTTGACTCACCATTGAAAATACATACATTAGATTATGTACTAATTTCATCTAGCGTTGTGACGGCGTCGATCTAGGTACGTCGCAGCGTTGAGCGTCGCCTTGCGTCGAGGCGCCTAGCGTCGCGGTGGAGAGGAAGGCATTTAATACTATACTGCGTTGGGACAGATATACGGTAGAAATATTTAGGTGGTGCGGGACGTGACGAAGGGTGTCGACAAGGATATTATGAAGGAAATATTTAGGGGCGGCAAACGTCGAAAAGTAGGGCGATGGGACGTTGGGCGTTGGAATGAATGTAAGGTAGAAAATACTTAGATGGAATGTGACAGCGTTCGAGACGTAGATAGTTAGGGAAGTAGGGCGTCTGGACGCGGAGCGTCGAGAGGTTGAGCGTCGGAATGAATATAATGGTGGGAAATACTAAAGTGGTATTAGAAGTGACAGCGTAGAAAGGTAGGGAAGTAGGACGACAGGACGTTGGGTGTCGAGATATTGACACCTTCGGGGATAGGAGGTATTATAGGATAGACGTCGTTTAGGAAGAGCGTTTTAGGAAAGGTACAGACTATAACTGGATACAAATAATAAAGTGATTGCTTGAATGTAAAATAATAAAAGGAATGCTTGCACATCAAATAATAAAAATGAATGTATGCTTGCACATCAAAAAATAAAAATGAATGTATGCTTACACATCAAATAATAAAAAATGAATGACTCCGAGCTCATTTGGGTCTGGCTTCTTATACTAGTTATAATGGCTTTTTTGGTAGTCTCTGTGTGTCTTAGTTCCCAGCGAAACGTATCTGGGTGGAAAGGGGGTGGCTGATTTATTACTTGCCTTGAAAATTTTGTGTATCGAAAACAACGTTACTATTCAAACGCAGTTAAGATAAGTGTGTCAAGTGTTTCTTAGTCTGGGTTCCCATACATGTGCACGAAAATTTGATCTATTTTCGTTAAATGAAGGATTTTGAATTTAATAAGAATGCTATATTATATTTAATAAATGGAATTTATAAAATATTAAGGTACCTGGGTAAGGTAGGTTACATTACCCAATTAGCCACCCAGTTTGATTTTTCTTTTTATTTATTAATGTCTGTTCTGTATAAGTCGCGTGCTGCTTAGAGCTTGTATTACGTCAGCATTTGTAACTGTATTTATTTATAACTATTTTGTCGTTTATACTTGCGAAAGAGAGAGAAAGAGTGCGAGGCCGACATGGATATATTTCAATTCTTTTTTTATTTGGAATATTAATTAGATTGATTAGTTTGGCATTCAGGGCTGGGCTAACCTGATGTTTTGTGTGAAATATGTTGGATATATTTCCAACAAAGCACAACTTATTTTTCTTAAGTTTTACATTTCGATAGTCTGAAAATAGCCTACAAATGTCATTTAAAAAAAAATTTAATAAATCGAAGTTTGCTGGCTTAGTTCGCAACTAGCAGAGCAGCTTGACTTTTGTAATAGACGAGGGCATAAACTTTTTGAACCTGGTATAAAAATGACCTTAAAATAGTGTAAAAATATGGTATAAGTTTTAACTCAAAATTCTCTAGGTGCTGTGGTGCCTTCTTTGGCATCAAGCACAAATCAGATTCCTAGAAGTGACCCCATTATAGTTGTTTGTGCTAGAACCTTCACGACGATAGTCGATTACTAAACAACTTTGACACATATCAAATTAGAAATAAAACGTTGTAAAGTTTAAAAACCACAAATATGATTTTCTTGAAATCGAGTATGCATTAAAAAATGAGAATTCCCCATTGTATTCTACTAACTGGAAATAATAGATAGCAGTTTTAAATGTACAGTAAACCCATGATGATACAAAAAATTACAGAGGTGTGATACTTAGCCGATGAAATATTGTCTAGTTTGTTCATGACTTATTGTGGTGTGTAATATCTGATTAGATATTAGCAGATTGAAATTTATTTTCGATCATCTGATTCATCAAATATGTTAAAGCCATGCCTCCACATCACAATACGTCACTGTGCCATAGTATCAATCTGTGTAATATCATGTCTTCTTTTTATAGTAACGTACTTTTCAGCTTTCAATCGAATGTTAGTTAATCTGTTTTTCAATTATTAATATAATTTTAAATATTGTGAATCTTTTGCCAATGATTTAAAATTGTAAAAACGACGATAAATGAAATTATACTAATCGCCCGAAATTTGAATAAATGTTTAAATCCTCTTGGCAGTCTATAGAAGTCCGGAACAAAGAGACATAGACGACGTCGATAAAGAGAATCTGAATCGAAGTATATCCGAGTATGAAAACACCACGACACATTCGCAGGGCGATTACGAGGTCGTTGCCAAAGTGCCTGAGAGAAAAGACTTTCCCAGACTACGACCTCTGTCTGTGGAACAATGGAAAGGTCATTTGAATTCTGAAGGAAAAATCGAGGATGTAGAATCTGTCAAAACGCTCATATTTAGAGGGGTAAGTCTTGAAATGTTTAATTTATAATGTTAGAAAAACAAAATATTGTCTACTTATTCTCCGAATTTGTCATACAAACGGTTCTCAGGGTATGACTGGTCGTTCTTAATGAATTAGTCTATGAAATATCCCTAGGCAAATTCTTAGGGTTGCAACACTTATGAATATCCATATAAATCCCCAAACTTGACGACTGGTTACTAAGAAAGTTAGACAAAAGAAGGTTCCAAAAAAATTAACACTAATTCTGAACCTTGGAAGAAAACTGGCATAAGTCACATTACACAAATTTTACATTAGAGCTAATTAAGTCCACATAGGATTGTATTCTACAAAAGAAGTGTGAACTTAATATTGTTTTCGGTTGCTTTGTTTCTTACCTGTCGTTGATTGGACTTACTATTGCGTTCTATTAAATAAATCTTAAATTAAGTTAATCACCGGGACACAAAAGTGTTATTTACAAAAATTTGGACAGTTTTCTGTGATGTAATACATTATATTAGTGGTGACGTAATTTTTGTTCCAATGACAGTGGAGGGAAGGGACTTTGCTAATAACAATTCCCTTTTTAGCATATTTTATTTAATAAAAGGCTCATGGATTGTAAGAATTTTACCCTCGGGTACCTTATTCCCCTCTCCCCTTGATTTTCTTTCGAGATTGTTAATATAGCATATATGACCTTCATTGAAAACTATTATTTTTATTATTAAACAGGGTGTAACTCCTTGTTTGAGATCTGAAGTATGGAAATTCTTGTTGGACTATTTTCCATGGTCAAGTACAGAAGCGGATAGACAAAAATTGTTGGCGACGAAAAGCGATGAATATTACAACATGAAATTGCAGTGGAAGAGGATGACTAAAGTGCAAGAGGACAATTTTTCTGATTACAGAGAAAGGAAGAGTCTCATCGAGAAAGACGTCAATAGAACTGATAGGTAGGTAGATTCATCATTGGCATCATCACCTTGAACGTGCAACACAATGTGTATCAATTCGTTTTTGTTTTCCATTCCAGGACTTTAGATTTCTACGCCGGAGACAACAACGCGAATCTACAGACTTTGAATGACATATTAATGACGTACATCATGTATAACTTCGATTTGGGATACGTTCAGGGCATGAGCGATTTATTGAGCCCGATTTTGATGTTGCTGGAAAGCGAGGTGGACTCGTTTTGGTGTTTCGTCGGTTTCATGAACAAAGTGGTAAGTAATAATTATCGGTCTCATGTTTTAGCGTGTACACTATTTTCAATATTTTATATAATATTAGTTATAAGTTTGAATTATTTTCATTCTGCCGTTGTCATTTTTCTTCAATTGGGATGAACAGTCAGTTTTCTTAGGGTTTCTTCTATCTATGTCATCCATTTTTATCTTCGAGGTCGGATTCTCTTCTATTATCTTCAACTGTTAAAATGAAATGATATAATTTTAACGAATTCCGTTCCAGATACGAAACTTCGATATCGACCAGGCTGGCATGAAGGATCAACTGAGCAACCTGCACACGCTGCTCGCCTTCGTCAATCCCCAATTGGCCAACTATTTGGATACTCACGATTCTGGAAACATGTTCTTCTGCTTTAGGTATAACATCCATTAAGCATTGTTTACATTGATTTATAATTATTGTTTTAACTCTTAATCTTAGATGGCTGTTGGTATGGTTCAAGAGAGAGCTGAGCCAAGAAGATGTGATGCGTTTCTGGGAAGTACTGTGGACCGGATATCCGTGCGAGAATTTCCATTTGCTGGTGTGCGTCGCCATTTTGGAAACCGAAAAGCAGAATATCATACAGAATAATTTCGGTTTCACCGAAATTCTAAAGGTACGTATTTGTGTGTGATTTTGAGTTTAGCTTTTTGCCATAATATATCCATTATTTTCTTTTTTTATGATGTATTTTTTTGCCGTTATCTTAAAATAACCTCGAAAACAGTCCATTCCGATGTTTGACAATATTTATTAGATTTGAAAAATATTGAAACGTCAATTTTTAATCCAAAGGGAACATCTTTTTCCAATAAGCATTAAGAGGTGTGATAATAAAACGGAATTTTTTTAATTTCGCGGGCTTTATGAATCCAACTTTGTTTTTATTTTGTTGGTACACATTTTCCTGAAGTACGTTGCGATTAACAGCCGGTTTTAATGTATAGTTTATTTTTGACAGTCGAAAAGGTTAAAAGTGTTTTAGTGTGAGAATAGAAATGGAATAAAGTGTAGCACCACATTCGAAATGTTAACCGTAGATTTTTTTGGGGAATTTACTATGAGTAAGACAAGAGGTTAGGAATGGTACAGACGTTTTAAAGAAGGCCATTGAAACGATGAATTTAAAAATGAATAATAATCCAGAAGAATCCACAACAAAATATGGGACCATCATTGACGCGGTATTTTCCAGATATTTAGAGGATATCAAGTCTCAAACTTATGTTTCTTATTTCAGTTACCATAAACCTATAGTTTCAATGATAAAAATTCCTGAATAACCTAGATGTATTGTAAGATAATAAAAATATTTTAAACAATATTAACTTATCCTTTATTCAATAAAAGAAAAAAATTTGTTTTCTTATCGGTGACCACGCTCAAAAAGTGTAACTTGAATTAATATCAAAGAAAAAACTTGAATTAATATCAAAGAAAAAAAATACTGCATAATTAAAATAAATAAATAATTATAATTGCATAAGTTGATAAAAAATGCTATGCAATAGCTTTACCGCGGCAGTCCCCGCGTGCCACACGTATTTTTTTTTTTTTATTTTTATAGGGTAATAAAAGCTTACTTATTATTTTTTTTTTTTATACAAGTTCTCAGCGTTTTCAATGCAATTTAGACCGCAAAAGGATCTTTGTAGAAATTAAATTTTAAAAATTATCTTTAACATTTGAACAAATAACACTCAACCTAAACCGGCTTTGATCAGCATGTTGGCGAATGTTTCAAGAGGTTGCCAGACCATTGCGCTTTCTAGATTATCTTGCAATGGACTATATATTCAGCGAGGGCTTATAGACGAAAAATAATTCTTCCAAACGGCTCTGGTCTTTTACCACTTAAACAAGGCAGTACCCTCTTGGCAAAATATAATTCTTGAGAAAATGAAAATAAAAGTGAAATATTACCTTTCATACTGAATGATGATAATTAATTTAAATATATTGCTATTACTTTGAAGGGAACAAAATTGATCTTGATTAATAAATAAAGATTCTTTAAGGAACACAGTAAATTTCGTTATTTTTTAATCACACTTCATTTACTTCTTTCCTTTGTCCACCCTTCCACTTCCTCAACTCCCCCTAATTTTTTAAATAGTGATGTTATGTATGACACATCATTGAAAAAGCATTTTAAAAATTAAGTAGAAAGTGAAATAAGTCTTATTTCGAAAAAATATGTCCCCTTTGGATTCAAAATTTACCTAGTTCAACATTTTTTTAAATCAATAATTACTGCCAAATATCGGGAGAGACTGTTTTTAGTAGCAAATATTTAATCAATATTTTGGTGTTCTTTTTGCATGTTTTTGCATCTTTTTTTTTTGTTTTTCATGATTTGATTTTATTTTTTGAGAGTAAAAGCAGCAGGGATGATACTCTGTGTTTGGAATCGTTCAAGTTATTTTCCATTTGCAGCATATAAACGACTTGAACGGCAAACTGGACATGGCCGTTATGCTGAACAAAGCCGAGGGCATTTTCTATCAAATCAAAGAATCCGATCATCTGTCTGACAACGTCAGGCTCATTCTAGGCATGCCGCTTTTACAAACCCAAACGTCCTACGGCAGCCACGAGCAATCGCCCTTCGAAGACAGCACCGAATTGAGCAACAGCACGCAGCCTTGTTGCTCTGTTGACAACGTCCGGATCAGCCCTGATGAGGTAGCTTACGAGAGATCGATAAATTCCAGCTTTTTATAGTGATATAGTTCGTTTTGAAAGAGGGTGATAATTGATGGTAGACAGGATGATTGATTAATATTTCCATGTAGAGATGTCGTGTTTGGTTTAGAGTAGATGCGTACTGGAAATGTTCTGCCTGCGGTTACTTCTCAATGTATGGAGCAAATAGTGATTGCAAATTTTCGGAAAGTGTTCTTGTTTTTTTTTTCAAGCATCCTTTTTTTATCCATTTATACACATAGCTCTCTTCTTGAATCTTGAATGGAAGACTAAACACCCTGTATAAGCCGCTTTACTAACGAGTATGATCGGACGGAAGATTAAATGCCGATTTAAAGTTAACTTAGTCGGACTGAAGACTAAATAAGTTGATTTATGATCCTGTTGGGACAAATCGAAGACCTAATCACATTTGTGTCGACTTATGAACGTAATCTCATGGATTGCAGGGTTTGTGATGTGTTATAAGTTGACTTTTAAAGCGTTGTACATTACGTTAAATTTGCCATCTTAACTGCAGAACAACAGTATAGAAACACAATCCTATTAAATATACATCACCGACGGACGGATCGCACATACATATACTATCCTATTGTTGCCATTGAAAGGGCGTGATTAAACTAATTGCTCTCTTTATTTTTCGCACGTCCATTTATAATTAGGCATCTCATCTTTATTTGGCAAGACAGCTTGGTTAAAGCACTGTAGATGATAATGTAAAATAATCGGCACATACTATAAATACAGATGCCAACAATGTTTTTTAACAAATTCTCTGTCCAGTCTTGCTTTAAACCAGTTGCCAGTTAAATCTTTATCTTTGTTGGTCAGAAGTGATATCACGAATAGTAATATTTCATTGTTCTATTTTAAATTTTCAGTAGATATCGCTTTGTGGAAAATGTGGTAAAAATGTCTGCCCCTTTTCTACAGACTTAATGGTGCCGAATATCAAATCCAGTATGCAACTACTATTAAACTTCAAATGCGCTAGTGATCAATCGATTTGTAGTGCAGGTTATTTAATCAATCTCTTGTACAATTATTATTTGCTATCGTTCATCTGATTGGAGTGAGATTGAAATTGAGATTTTTTGTTATAATCACAGAATTATAATTATTATGTATTAAAAAATAAATATTGTGTAAAATAAGTTTGTACTGAAAATTCGCTTGTATATTTAGGTTAAATTTAATGTATAGCAGGAAGAAGAGGTGGATTCAGAAATTAAAAGGTCATTATAGTCCAATCGTTACATTTAAAAAATGCTGCTTGGAAATATTTTTTTCAATGATTTGTATCAGTTTATTTTTAAAATATCTCGTTAATGGTAAATTTGAGATAAAAATAAATAACGTGTCTAAAATTTACAGATCATAGTCTACAATTTTTGTTGTTACATTTTTTCGCAGTGTATTTTTTTGTGTTACATCGCTGTATGTGCTTTAATGACATTTTTATCGTAAAAATTATAGTGACCTTTTTCGTAGACAAAATTCCGTACAGATTTTAAAAAATTGTTGGTTTTCAAATCTCGTCAATAGTTCATTGTGCAAATGTATATTAACAAATTATTTATTATTAAATTATCTACAAATTTCATTATAAACAATCAATTAAATTAAAAAAAATTGAGGAAATCGAATTGCATGACAAACCAAAAAATAAATGTTAAATCACGTCTTCGCCCTGAGAGTTTGATTCTTTTTAGCTGGTATTTTTGGTTTCGCCTTAGTATTTGTTTTGGTAAGTTTCTATTTGGATTTGAATACAAAAGTACAGTGCGCGCCATAAGTAAGGAATACGTTAATTTTTGATGGTAATATTTTTAGAAAATTTCATCAATTTTTATTTTAGAACCAAACTTTGACGTAACAATTTTACCTCTTAGATAAAGCATAAACAGTTGGGCAAGAACTTTCATTAAAATTTATGGACCTGATAAACTTTGATAGGAATTGAGCGTGTTCTGTCTGAATGACTTGAATTTTAAATAACTCAATCTATCAAAATGTATCAGCCTCGTAAATTTTAACAAACCTTCATGCAATCGGCTGAAAGTGTATTATACTGATGAATAGGGAATTAAAATTCCTTTTAAATGGGTTGATGTAGGAAGTTGTAACGATATATCTATGATACCGTTATTTTTCTCCCATCTCTTCTATGACGGTTCTGTGCTTTGTCACAAATGGTTATCGATTGACAAAACAGAACATTGTGACACTAAATAGAGATAGGACCCTAGATAAGAAATAATAATGCATTCTACTAGATTAGTATATATAATGAAAGAAAATTATTATGTACATTATGCATACTCGTACCTATTTACAAACCCATTTGTACAAAAAAAAATATTATGTATTGGTAAAATAAGTTTCAAGATAAAGTTGATTTTTTTTTAACAAATTTATTAATCTTAAAAAATTGTACTGGCATAAGATTTAGGTAAGGTTGAAAGTACAATAATATGTATATTAAAATAGAAATGAGCAAAACATATAGACAATATGCTTTAATGCTCCCATATTGGAAGAGGTTGTTAAATCTCTACCACCACAAGAGTCTTCTGAGATTGCTTAACTTAATATATATTTTAATAAATAAAATGACCTTACACAGAACCGTCATAAATAACGGTAACATAGATATACCATTTCAAAGTAAAATTGTTAAGTCAAAAACTTTCGTTTAAAAATCAAAATGAACGTGTATTTCGATTGTTCTCAACTTATTTCCGGCGCTTATTGTATGTGTATTCCTGTTTTATCGTACTTTATTCTCAAAAGCTTACAGGAGTGGTATTCAAAGCTTTGTATTCGTTGTTTTTAGCAATAAGAAATTGATTTTTATATTTGTATCACTGCTTTAAGTATATTAATGTATTGGGCGTCCCAACTATTTTGTACTAGTAATTTGAATTTGGGACGCTCAGTATTTGGGCTTATATTAATTATTAGTGTCTGAATTGTTGTATTGTAAACTATGAATCGTTTTTAAACTTCTATTTTATCAATAATTATATTATTTTGTTTTTAAGTTGGTACAAATTTTATGTTAATAAATCATGTATAATTTTTTTTAGTTTTACTTATAATTTTACGGAAAGGACTGAGTGTGAAGCGAGAAGAAACGATTATAATCGGACGGCAGAATAAAGACGCTTTTTTACATAAGCTGTGTATAAATAAAGACGTTTATTATTATTATTATGAACGATTACAATAGATATTTTTGTGGAAAGTATGGTCAAAATGTCCATAATTTTTTTGTAGACTTGTAAGAACCATAAAATGGTGCCAAATGAAATCCACTATTCATCTACTATTAAACACTCGACGCGAGCGAGTAATCAATCGATTTGTAGTGCTGGTTGTTTATTATCCAAACAGACCTAATTACAAGGATGTAGTGACTCAGATGCACTACTTACCTTCCTACTGAGAAACTAGAACGTCAATGGACCCTTACAGCATCAAGAGCTGCAAGAAACAATAGTACCTTACCTTCATGGAAGAACAAGGATACCGATTTATTGTGGGTGACTTCAATGAAAGCACACCCTCTAGGAATCGAGCTTAATAACAACTATGGGGCTGTGCTAGCAAATTTACATTTCAACGACTCAAAGATTCCAGAATAAAGTGCTAAGAAACTACTTTTGATATTATGACCTTCATCAGGACCTAGAAGTAGACGCAGTTAACCAAACCATGTCCAAATTCGCCAGAAGTCATGAGCAAAGACTTCAACATGTGAATACCGAAGCGATACAGATTCTCTATAGCGCCAATTTGACAAGAAGACTCAAGCGGACCAAGCTGTTCGAGTTGCTGTAGTGATCGTGAAAAGCAGAGCCCAGTGCAAAGTTACACGTTAGTTTTATTATTGTCGTTATTGGAAACTAAGGCACACTAGTGAATACAACCTTTGTTAAGATTCAACTGTATCATTTTACGTTAGAAAAAAGTATTTATTGATCGAACTTCTGATCAGGTTATAATGTAAACAATATCCGGTAGGGGATATTTATTAATAAAAAATAGACCTTTAAGGATAATTAAGTTAGAATTAACATTACATTATATAGTAAATGACATTATTTTGCAAATATGAAGCAAGAATTTGTTTTCGGAATTTATCATATTTTTTGAACCAATTTACATCTCGTTGCATATTAATACTGTTTGTTAAACGAAGCATCATTAAGAAAGAAGTTTTGGATGTTGTTTACGTAAAAGGAATAGTAAACATATTTTCCTACGACCACTTGGGAAAGTGACACTATATATAGTCCTACGGAAAGTGCTCTATATCACACGCGTATGAATAAGAATTTACTTTCCACCCGTGTAAGAATATGCTACTTTCCGCAGTAGCTGTCACAAAATGTCAAACACATAATTTCTATTTTGATCTATGTAATGTCCATATTAATACTAAAATCGATATGATTATTAAATTATTGAAATTGTTGTAAATTAGATCCTAGATATTTATCTTTAACAATTATTATTAAAATAACTAAGACATGTTTGCTTTTTATTCTGGTTAAACACATAACTGATTAGATCATTCAATTGACGCAAAGCCTATTAGCTTAGATGGTTACAGTGTCAAACTTATTTTGATGAAATTATCTTGTAGTCGTAGGAAAAATATTGTACATCACTTGTGTGAAAAGTGATTTTCCACACCCGTGTGATAGTCGCACTCGGCTTGTGCCTTGTGCGACAATATTTCCCACTAGTGTGAAAAATGTCACTTTCCACACTCGTAATGTAATATACTATATTTATATTCCGCAATGGACGCCGAAGTACAGAAAATGGTATATATAAGTAAAATACATATAATTTTGCACAAATACCTTTTTGAATAAAATTTCTTAATAATGTATTCTGTAACTTTTCCAATTCTTTTAAAGCAATTTAATATTGTCTCTGCCATATACTTGTAATTGAAGCAAAATCCATTCGTCTTGGTAGCGTAGTTGTTTCGAGCGCTGGTATTCACTTACAGGCAATTTTGTTGTTGAGATACGCAGATCATGTAAATTTTTAATTAATTTGCATGGTTCGTAATAGGATTTAATGAGTGCTGTATTAGCAGTGGGTGAGGTTTTCCTTACCTGCAAATCAAATGGCACCATCAATCATCTTTAAGTCGCCCTGAAGCTTCACGGCAAATAATAATCATAGCCGTCTCTTACCTACACAAGCCCATCTGCTTAAGGGGTTGAAATTCACTCGTATGGGGGTGAATTAGGGAGAGTATTATTATTATCAACCCAGTCAAAAGCTTTACTGTATTCATCTGTCATCTTTTTCTAATGTCTCATTTGCACGGTGTGTTAAAAGGAATAAGTGCCTTGCATCTATAATGTGTGGAGGGTGGATTAACTCGTGAGAGCCAGTCTACAGATTTAATGTAGTCGACAACGTCGCCAAAAGGTGGTTCTCTTATATCGGCCGGTGTTAGCTAATTCTCGCCGAGCGCAAATCTTCTAATAAATGGGAGCATCGGGCAATCGTAGATGATATGGCGGGAAAGATATCAGGTCCTGGCGATTTAAATGGAGAGAAGCTAGATATTGCACATCTAATTTTGTCATCGTCTCTACAATGTGTTTGGCAGTTTGCCAATCGTAGAAAGATATGTTCTATTCTTCCTCTGCCAGTCAGCCACATCTGTGGTGACCGAGTCAGGAAAGTGTGTTGGCAGCAAAAGTTTGATGCTCTTCGAGGTTTATAGTTTTCATGCCACCAATACTGCAGTGTGGAACTCTTGAGAAAGCTTTTTGAAGCCTCGCTGCCTGAGGGATATCTTCGATTTCTTCTTAGTAGGATCTCCATGCATCTCTGTTTGGTCTAATGATTTTTTTTTTTGTATTTTCCAAGGTGAGATTTGTAAATATCCCAATATCTCTTTGAGTTTTGTGGTACTTGCTTTATTAAAAGATTTCCTAGCCATCTTCCTGAGGTGATCCAACTCGTGACATCACCATGTGGTAGTCATCTGATCGTGTTGGACCAGTCTCAGGGAAGTGCTTTGCATAAACTGTTCATCAGTAATACTGCTTTGAAAGAAATTATATAATTTGGTGTAAATTATTTGCTTAAATACTTTATTTTAGAGTAAGAACTCATACTAGAGATTGATATATAATTTTCAATATTGACGGAAAGAAATATATAGTGTGATTTCAATCACATACACAAACAAAATTATAAACAACCTCTAAATTTCTTTAACAACTGCAATTTTTCAATAAAGTAGTACCGAGATCATTTTGCTTAATTTAAAATATTATAGAAAAGATCTAATGCACTGTTGACATTAGTTTCCGAAGTCACTGCTTCTCAATCAGTGTCTCTAATAAATTCATACAATAGATGAAAATTTACTTTTTTTTTTAAATGTAGAAACATTTTATTTTCACATAAGTCAGTCCTATGGGATACAGAACATTTTATATTCATCGAAATTTGTAAAGGGGGATGATTAAATACCTTCCTTTATCACAGGAAATTCGGCTTTGAAAACATTACAGATTGTCTAAATCGTTTATCTACAGTTTTCGATAATTTTGTCTAGGTACTAAATAAATGAGCAATCTAATTAATATAACCATATAAAATATCAGGAATTATTAAAAAATAAACAAACAAGTAATCCTTTTATTAATGTATGTTTCAATACCATTAGAAACTAAATCACAAATCTTTTAGATGACTGGATAATAAAGATTGTAATTTGTATCACCCACAAATATTTCTAATTCAGATAACAATAATAATATATAAGTAATAATTTAAAATTGGACTTGTCTTCTAAAATGCTTCTGAAGTATGGTGTTATTTTTCATTCCCATTTTTGTGTTGTAGTGCATCCTCTTCAAGAAGTGCAAATCCCTTGCTTTCCTACAAGAAAAAAAGAGTTCCAACATATTATACACTATTATTTCATTTTCATGACAAGTATGATAGATGATAAACAATATGTACCTGTTTAAAAACAAACTTGTCGAAATAAACATAGGGCATTTACAACATGATTATTAATATTAATAAATTCTGGCACAAAATTGTTCCATTTTCTATGTTAAATAATAATGGAATGCATAAAAAAATACCTTGCAGCTGCTACTTGTTGTGTCTCAGTCCAACCCAGGGCTCTATAATGCGCCAAAACTTTGTGCAACTTCTTATTATTCTTAGATGGAATTGCTACGGCCTTATTAGGATTTAAGCTTTGCTTGTAGTACTTCATAAGACTACGATGGCCGACTACAGCACCAGAAGGTAAAACTAACTGGTAATCTGAACCATCTAACTCAGCAGAAGGAACCTACATTATAAAAATATTGAAATTATAACATTGAATAGTAACTTACATAGATGTAAGAATACGAAATATCCAGAATAATACAAAGAATTTAATCACAAATTAATGAGAAACAGTTAAAAAAAATAAACATCTCTACTTACTTCTTCATCAACATCGACATTGTCTTTTTCAGCATCTGGATAGGAAGTGGAGTAATCATAAAAATCTGCATATTCTGCTAATGCTATACCTTCATGAATCATTCTGCAATGACCCCTGTCCACCATATGCTGTTTAGCTGATTCTGCAGTGTGAAACGTTTTTCCCTTTTCGTTGCACCAAAGGCACATGAAACCTTGAAAATATTCAACATCAACTTATTTTTTTAAAGCATAATTAATGACATAAGAGCTATGCTTATGTTAAGATAAAATTGGCTCAATCATGAAATAGCACTAAATGAAATAGTGAGTAGCAAAAGAGCACAGAAACCAACCTGAATGAAATAGGGCACATCAAAAGAGCTCCTGAATGAAATACCACTTATCAAAATAGTACCTGAACGAAACAGCGCCTGGAGCTATCCTAGGGTGCTTAGTAAATAAAATTATTTAAAAAAAACACAACTAATTTACCTAACCTGTGCAATCTGGAACCATTGGGGGCTGCTTTGCAAAAAAAATATACACAAAATGAGAAAATTTAAAAAGTTATGTGCGGCCTGGAACAATTTAAATTTAATTAAGTGCTAACTTACTGGTTAGGTAAATTAAGCTTTTTTAAAAAATTTTGATAAAAAAATTGCATAGTATGCCGCGATGGCTACATACACTGTTTCGCTTGGGCACTGTCTTGACTAGCACCATTTTTATAAACATTATTTCCTTAAGGCACTGTTTCAATAGGTACAGGCTATTTTGAGTAAAGACTATTTAATTCAGGCGCTATTTTGTTGAGTACTATTTTGTTCAGGAGCTATTTCAAATCACCCCATTCTAATTAGGCAATCAAACAATAACACTATTTTGATACATGCTATTTCATGAAAAAATTATGGTAATTTCCTAGTTCCAAAGTACATTCGCATCAAATATACAAGAATAAGTTAATTTTGAATTAATTAATTTTCTACCATATACAAAAAAAGAAATTCAAAATTATGTTTATAGAATGAAGCTAAATACTCATATCCAAGTTTTGATTCTTTCTTCAACAATTCTAAACACCTTTTTTTTTCAAATATTTTTATGTATTTTTAAATGTCTACAATACAATTCACATAAATGTTTAGCCTCTCTCATAACAAAATATTTAATTTAAATATTAGTAAGTGCATTATGGGTTTAAAGCTATGCTGGAACTTTTATAAGGAATACATTTTTCTCTGAAAATTATATTTATTTAAGTTTTGCATATTTCTGCAGGGCACTGTATAAATATGGATTGTTTTAATAAAATAATATTTACCCTCTGAAACTTTTTCTCCTAAATATCTTAACAAGCCTTCCACGTCTGTACAGTACTCAATATCGGGTATAAAGAAAGAATGAGAGATAGTCATGTGCTCCAAATTTTTATAGAAATTACCACTGTGGTGTGAACAAAATAAACAGTTATTATTATCAATTGGATTTTCAGACATTTCATCCCATTCATCTGAATCAACTTCTTCTACATCAGAGACTGACTCATCTTCTTCAATAATTTTTGGACTTTTGTCTGAAAGAGTATCTGAAAAAAAAAACAAGGTAAAGTTTATTTCTACATATGAATAGCTGTATTTAATAACATACCTTCCTCTATCTTGTTTTTCTCATTTTCTTTATGCTTCTTGGAATTCAAATGGTTATCATAGGCATTTTGATTGGAAAACATCTTGCAACAAGCAGAGCAGTATACGCTTTTATCTTGCTTCTCCATTTCATCAGCATTGCGTTGATTGAGGACTCTTAATTGGAACTCTTCTGATGTTACTGGGGGCAAGTCGGCCACTTTTCTTTTTAAATTATACCTGTGCCAATCTGTTTTGTAGTGCGATCTTTGTAATTGTGCATCTTTAAACGCCACTCGACAAGAAATGCAAGTGAAAGCATCTTTAAGGTTGGCTATGTCGGACATTTTAGTCCACTAGAAATTTGTATTTTTACGTTTGATTATAAAAATTAAAATTTTGGAAATGTTTCACCACTCAGCACTTCCAAAAGCAAAAAAATCGGCACAAATCAAAATACATGTGTCAGTGTCATGTCATCACTGTCATGTGTCACGTTTTCACTTTTCAGCTCAGATGAAATATATATGTAGATAAGTAACGGGTGCTGTTCAACATTGGCTCTGTTTGAAGCCAGTATAAACGAACGTTTGACGGTTGCGATCTCCATGGGCGTATCACATAGTTTTTTCATTATAATCTAAAAGATTGTTCTTTTTTAATATTTAAGCAAAGACAAATAATAAAAAAAAAAAAAATGCAATTCAAACAAAATATAAAAAAATAAAATCTGTTATTTCTTATTCAAATGTAATAAACGATATTTATATATTTATATAAAAAAATAGGTTTTAAATGATTACAATATTGATATTGTTTATAGGTAGATACATAATAATTAATAATTGTTTTGTTATGTTATATTTGCATCTTAATTTGTCTGTGGTGGGGTAAAATTTGCCCACCTTACACTATTATTTAAATTCGACTACAGTGCATCTCCCGCATCTCCACTTCCATACAAATTAGATTTGGGCGACTGTCCATGATAATTAGGTTTGTTGTTTTATTTGCAAAAAACAAATAATATAATTTTTGGTATCATATATGTTAGAAGCGGATATTGACAGATATTCTAGATTGCAACATTCTTTTACTTCGCTGAATTAATCTGACTTTTGTTCCATATTAACAACCTGCTCATTAATAAACTTTCAACATGTTTTTAAACTTTTTGGGATATTAGATCTTTTAATAATCTCCAAAATAATGTGCCACAAACGTTTTCTAAAAACGGGCATTTTTAAATTTACCTATTATTTTTAGCATAACTTTTTTTCTTTGAATTTAGGCATTTTTATAGATTTCTACTTTATAAATTGAATAACTTATTCTATAGCTTCTGGAGCAATGTCGGTAGAATAACTTGAATTTTTTGATCCAGTATATGCAATTATTATAATTACAAAACACTTCTAGACTCTGTCTTTCACTACATTCAGTAGGAGGTAAATCTTCCCTAAAAAGAATTATAATATTTAAAATATTTATTTCAATATTTAGAAAAGGAATACAATCTGTTTTGTGTTTTGTATAAATTTATTTTTACTAAATTAGCAGAGAAGATACAAGAAACTCTTTAGAGTAGTTTATATTTTCATAAAATGTTTTCTTTCCATGGAGCACTAAAAGATTTATTTTATTTTTTAAGGAGGTTATATATAATATAGCATTATTTTTTTATTTAATCACTAGTTTTAAATGTATGAATACGTGGAACTAGTGAGCTGTATAACAGTTCACTATTTGGAACTTATCCAAATGTATGTTTTAGGACAAACAAAACATTGAATAGTAATTTTTAAAGTAATAAAATTCGTTAAAAATATTCTAGAAACTCTAAAAATTTTAAAAATATGCCATGGGAATATAAAATCACACAAAATGTAAAAACAAAACCGACAATTCCCAACTAAACTAGATTAAGCACATCAAAAACACAGAATAAAGAGAAAGTAATAGAGAAAATGGTAGATACTGGCTTCAAACAAATCCTGACCGTTATTTGGGTCCTATATGATTGAACGTTTACGTTATCCGTAAAGTAAATGTTATGCCGAGTTTTAACAGTAACGAGGCAAGTTCGTATATGATGGATAACTGTTAAATTAGAACATAACAGGTGGAAAATAAAAGTAATGTGTTGGAAAAAAATTTCATACGAACTTGCCTCGTTACTGTTAAAACTCGGCCTAACATGTACGTTTCGGATAACGTAAACGTTCAATCATATACCGCGTTTGAGAATCTACATCGGATGCATCTGAGATGTAGTGAATCTTTGATCACGTGATTCAGTATACGTATAGAGAAAGTAAAAGTTGAAAAGTCTTTTGGTAGGTAGAGAGGGGGGTAAACGTCAAACCACGTCGGGCGGCTCCGAGAATTTCACAGTAATGTTTACCTGCCAGTGTCGTTTCATAGAATAAGTAATTTTAAATTGTTATCGGCGGAACCGGACAATCGCATGTATTTATGGATTATAAATAATTATTAAACATGTATTATAATATTCAAATTATAATTTTACAAAATTTCAACAGCTATTCACAATTTATTAAACTATTTACTCGAAATTGTTATTAACATCTATAAAATAATTTTGTACGCCAATGTATCGCGTTCACTTCGGTGAGATCCGCTGCAAACCTGTCAATTTATGTGTATAAAGTGGGAGAACTGGCAAAAGCATTTCCAACTTTTACTTCTGTTCTAAATGTAATGGGACAGATATGTCCGATGTGGATAAAAAAAACGCTCGAGATATAAAAAATGCATCCGATGCAATGAACTGGAGTGGGGTAGAAAGCCAATGTGCATATTATATCAATAAAACAAGATGCGACTCTATGGGCACAGCCATTTTTATTTCTCACCTCACTCGGGAGTATTTATAATAACCATTTTCTGTTTCACATTGTTATTCTTCAATCCACAAGCTGGTGGATCAGACAATAACAAAGTGAAATAGAAAATGGTTGTTATAAATACTCCCGAGTGAGATGAAAAATAACTTGCCTTCGCCCTTAGAGTCGCATCTCAAGCCTATTGACAAGCATTCTACCCCACTCCAGTTCATTGATCCGATGTGGATTCTCAAACGCGGCAATAGGAGTAATAGGACCCATTAATTATCTATATTTCATTTTTTATTCTGAGGTATTTCTATCTAGTTATAAAAGATCCATGGTTTGACATTGACATGTTGACATTGTTGGAAATTTGACAATGATTTGACATACAAACATAAAAATATAAAATATTTATAAACATGTAGTTACATTTAAAAAGTGATTTTAGATTGTGTAAAGATTTAAATACCTACCCACTCGAAATGTGATAAATAGTTTTGTGTTATCTGTAGAAACTCGAACATGTAACAACAAAGTTTTTTTAAAAAAAATGTCTAGTTTAACTTTGAAAGAATTATTTCCATCTAAATTAAGTTTCATAATTTTCGTTGGGTATATACTTTTATTTGTGAATCAAGGTAATATTTTAATTTTTAATTTTAAAATAGTAATGCACTGATTAGTTTAGTAATATATTTAGTCCTGAAAATTAAATTAGAGTATTTTTTTGATTATTCTTTAATTGTTTTAGAAATTTATTCCAGGAATTAACATTTTTTTTATAATAAAATGAATGATACTAATAATTAAAATAACCGCTTCCAAATGATTTTAAAATTATTTACATAAAAAAGTATATTTTTAAGTCTGATTTTATTTAATTAATATTTTTCACAGGTATTCTTGTAACTGCATCTCAACAATCAAATAATCGTTATGACTATAGTGTTGTAACTGTAGTTTTATTAACAGAAGTTCTGAAATTGGTAATCTCAAGTCTTCTTTATTGCAGAGAGTAAGTTCTTATAATTTTTTTATACCCTTCAGTCTCTTTAATCTAAGTTTATACCTTAAATTTTATTAATAAGTGGCCTACATATTATTTATTATTTTAATAATAGATATATTCTTATTTTTATATATATTCTTTATGCTTAAAAATATTCCTGAAAAACAGGGTGATGCTATAGGGAAGAGTTTGTGTTTGTGGAGAATATAAAAGGGTATGAATTAATTAATTTATTTCAAGAAAACGGCAAAACTCTAGAGCAGTGTTTCTCAAACCTTTTTGAAAAGCGAAATATTTAATGGAACCCTAAACACATTTCTAAAAAAAAGTTTTTCAATCAAAATCATATCCTCCTTCCTCTTAGTGACTTCTAAAAAAAAGGGGGCCTCAAGCCAGGTCCTCCTTTTTGTGGCGATAGTACTGCTTTTTTTTTTTATTATGACTATTTTTTTCGTGAATCCCCCACAAAGGCTTTGCGGAGCCCCAGGGCTCCGCGGAGCACACTTTGAGTAACACTGCTCTAGAGTATGCCAGTAGAATTATTTTCCAATTTTTTTGTCAAAATGTTACTTTCCTAAAGAGCTAATTGCTCACCAATTTGACATGTCTGGTGTCTCAGAAATTAAGCCCATAAAGGATATTTGTCTTGTTCTTACATCAAATTTAATCAATTAAAGCATATCAGCTATGAGCATTGTTGGTAGCATATTGCAACACCTTGTATATAAAGTGTTAGGAAATATATAATGTTTAAAGAGAAATACTTTTATTTTTAGAAATTCTGCCACACAACTAGTAAAGGAAGTTTTAAGTAATAGAAAAGTATTGTTACTTTATTTTGTACCTGCCTTCTTGTATTGTTTATACAACAATTTAGCATTTATAAATCTATCTTTATTTGACCCCACAACGTACTATTTATTACTACAATTCAGAGTTGTTGTAACTGGAATTCTTTTCCAGGTAAGTCAATCATTTATTTATTTTATTGCAAATATAATAAATTATAGGAACAATTGTCTATCTTGTAAATTCTTTACATCATAGGGGAGGTCCCCTAACTTTCTAATATTCTAGTGAATGTCTATGAAGAATTGTTATTTATTTATAAAGTGAAGAAACCTTTGATATCTTTATACAAAAACTGCTGCATACTTGAAGTATTATAACTTTAAATTTTACTTTATAGGTAATTGTAATTAAATTACACAAATTAAAAATAAATACTTTCTATTTAATGATGTATTAAAAAAAATGCATTCCCACTATAACTTTAATTTGTGTAGATGCATTAGATCATCAAGGTGACTTTGGCCTCATTTTTTAAAAGCATCATTCTTAGATGAACATTGATGAATCTATGAGGTCATAGAGAAATGGAATAACGAATGATTTAACTTTCATTTTATATAAATTTAATTGCTAAACCAGCATTTCAGCGAACACAAGTGTAATCTCTAGTTCAAATAAATATATTTATCAGGCATTGGCAAACAAGTTAATCTTGATAATATTATTTATTTGTTTACAGTTACAACAATATTTAAGATTTGACAAATATACTGGTGTGAATAGATTTAAGTCGTTTTTATCACTTGAAATGTAAATAACAGTTTTTTGGTCCCACAATTTGTTTTTATTATAAAATATATTATTCAGTTTGAATAAAGGTGAAAATATGCTTAAGACAAAAAATATGTCATAAAATATATGCAGCAATTTTTTATTACCTAGGTGCAAAATAAATTGCTGTCTGTGTCTCTCTATGCCCCAGTAGTTCTCTATACTGGTGCACTTAATTGCAAAATACAACGTAACCCAAAACATGTCAAAATTCAGAATTGTATATTCTTTTTTTTAAAACTGATTGGAAGCACTCATTTCAGCTATTTTAACCGACTTCAAAAAAGGAGGAGGTTCTCAATTCATCTGTATATATTTTTTTTATGCATGTTCAGCTATAATTCTTTCCACATGGTGTCCGATTTTTTTTTTGTTAGAAATGGGGTGGTCCTATAATAATTTGGACAAAATCTAATAATTGGGTCTATGAGAAAATCCTCAAACTCTTCATTTTTTATGTATGTTGAGCGATAATTTTTTACCACCTTGTCCGATTTCTAAGATTGTTAGTAAAGGGGTACTTCAGAGTTGTTTCATTATAAATTTGGTCAAGATGTGGTGATGGCATCTGCACGATTTTGAAGTCGGTTTTTTAAAATTACTTTTAATACTTGTTCCCCCAAGATGGTATTTCTCAGCAAGGAAAATTGCAAACAGTAAAATGGCTCTAAAAGTTTTTTCTTTTTTAATAAATATTGTTTTAGTATGTTAAAAGTACAGCTAACAAAATTCAGACATCCGATGCCACTTAGTAACCTCTTCCTATTTTTTTTATATATATTTTTTATTAATAAAAATATTTATTTTGCAGGTAATTTTCAGCAAGATCTTAAGCAAAAAACAATGGATATCGTTGATAATCTTAACGTTAGGATGCATGTTGAAACAAGTCAATTTCACGCAAGAAACTCCCGCCGAAAAACCCTCGAAAGCCGCGTCCGTATCTTTAGGCCTGGACGCCATTATGATATTCGTGCAAATAATTTGCTCATGTCTTGCCGGAGTTTACAACGAATACTTGTTGAAAAAACAAGGTGCTTCTATTAATATCTTCGTTCAGAATGTGTTTATGTACTTAGATTCGATAGTTTGTAACGTTTTGTTGCTGATTCTGAATGGAAACTTGTTGGAAGCGTTTCTGTACGACAACATCACCAAGGTGTTCCATTACAAGGTATTTATTTAACAGATTACACAATAAAAATGTACAGCTATGATCGGACCTTCCTAAGTTTACTACTTTTGAATTAAAAGTTCAAAGAAATAACACACACACTTATTTAATAGTAGCACATCACTCTTATCTCTTGCGATGCCAACCGTGGTCAAAGCCTACAATTTCTCTAAACCAATCACAAGACAGTGTCAAAACACCATTTTTCAAATCAATCACAAGACAGTGTCACCGGATACACTCTTAACACGACTTAATGATACATTTTTTTAGCGAGAACTATTCGAGCCTCCAAACAAGCAACAACTATTGATTTAGACACATTTTCAACTTTAAACTAACAGAGAAAGAGGTTTTAAACCAGCATGTTCGAACTCAATTACATGTAAAAGTATCACTCAAATTTTATATGGTTGTAAAATGCAAAGTTTATAAAGTTAAAATAAACCAGTTGACAGAAGATATAATTTTAATTTCTGCATTCCACAACAATTAATATATCAACATATCAATGAGATTTCTACAAGATTCGTCATAAATACAGTTCACCACTCTACCCTGTAAACCGGAAGGAACCCTTAAGCAGGCAGGGAAAATTTAAGGTAAAAAACACAGCTGGCCTTTGACAAGTATTTTTGGTAGCAGCAAAAACTAAGCTAGCATCTGGTAAAAACTTCTTGTAGTAATGCGTAAACAACATATTTGTTATAAAATGTCTAAAAAGAAAATAATGTAATTAAAAATAAACATGATCATACATCATACACCGTCTGAGGTTCACTGTCATCGAAAATCGTACAGCGAATTATTAGGTGAGATTACTATAAGTAGTTTAAAGTTTCGAGATATGTTATAAAATAATTTATGGCTATAATCTTTTAATCCAAAATTGGTAAACTTAGGACCTCTGTACTATACTGATAAAAACGTTTCATGAACATGCAAGGATTTAGGATTATAATATTGATACTACATGCCATCCATATTCTAGTTTCCTAATTTCCAGGTGCCATAAATTACGATAACAGAGAGACTAGTACAAGTTTGTGGAGTAAAGTTTTACTATTATATTAATTTATTTTGTAAACTGTTCTGACACCAAGGGCAGCTCCGGCGGGGGGATTAAAATTCTTACAATCCATGTGCCTTTTATTTAGGGCTTTAGGGTGACCATACGCACAGCAAGGTCATGGCTGTACTAAACGCCAAGCATTTAAACGTAGCAAATATGATTTGGAGAGCAAAAAAGGTATTCTAGTAGTTTCTCTGTCTTATTGTGTCTCTTTTGGATTTAGGAGCTTAAAAAAAGTCACCTTTCGCATACAAAACTGGGTTTTTTCGACAGAAATATTTTATTTTTCACTATATTCTCCTGTTTTCTCAACACACCTATTCCCAATTAGCAGTAATGCCTTCATTGTAGGTCGATGAATACAAGTCCTCGAAATAGCTATTTATAGCAAACCTCGGAATTAGACAAACATATCTTGCCTCGAGCCATTTTTTCAGGTTCGGAAACAAATGAGAATAGCTGGGAGCCGAATCTGGAGAATTGGGCGAACGAGGCACTATTTCAAATCCCAATTTATAAATTTTGGCTGACTTGTGGATGGTGCGATATTCTGATGAAAAAGCCTTTTCTTTACCAAATAATTTTCTTGCAAAAAATTTGGCACAAAACTCCTCATTTATTGTTTCCACTGAATTTCAAAACAGTTGCCATATTTTTGCGTTCTTTAGTGTCGAAGAACCTTTGTATATCCATTGTTTCGATTATTCTTTGGTTTCAGGAGTATAATGATGGAACCAGGTTTCATTGACGATTATAAAATGGCACAAAAAGTCCAAGGATTGTAGCGAAATCGTGCCAGAAGGTTAAACGATTTAGTTTTTGTTTCGTTAAGAATAATTGTGAAAATGTGGCAAAAGGTCGCATAAAACACTCAAACGATTTAGTTTTTGTTCTGGCGAAAGCAATTGTGGCACCCAATGCACATAATTAGGCATTCCAAACAAAATGGATTTGACAGGGTCAATAATATAATATAATTCTAAATAAACATGCACTCATGCCTTGGAGTAAAAATATGGGTAATTTTTTTACTATATTTAACTGCTGAAATTTGGTTATAAAACACATTTTTGCCTAAATCGATTCTGATTAACCAGCATTTGCAAGGCAATATGGCCGGTCGCAATTCGACCTGCTTTGAGAAATCTTTATAACTATATTAATATGGAAACACCTACTATATCAATTTTCCACAAATTGCCCAAGACTTAAAAGGAGTGGTTTGGTTCTAAAATTTACACAAAATAAGAACAGTTTCTTCTTCCTTTTCGGCTCACTCCTCCGCTTATTCCTTGTCTCGGATTACTTTTTGTCTCCGCTTACTTCTCGACTATTTCCATGGTCTCTTCTGCTTAGTCTACTTTTCTGGTCTCCTCTCACTGATCTTTCTAACTTTGCAATAAACATTTCCTTTTTACCTTTTCGATTTTATTCAACTAATTAAACTCCAACTATAATAACTTCCAACAATCTTATTTTAATGAATTCTCTTCATATATTTATTTTCACCCCCGATATCCTGATTTTTTACCTAAAATTTTGATTTGGAACATCGTTCAATTTTTATACATTTTCGTGACGTCGATAATTTTCATATCATTGACTCTGTCAAAGCCCTTAGGCTGCCATTTGGACAGATAATTGGAATTCTACTGGTAAAGAAGAGTCCTCTGAATTCGCTCCATCTGTAAGGCCACGTAGTTACCGAACAATCCTAGTAAACCATGACGGCGCTTACAGGATTAAACATTACAACGAATTGTAGAATTAGTCCACCCCTAGAAGTTATCAGTGTCAGGGTTGTAAAACTTTGGATATTATTAGCCCAGTATAATTAATAATACAGTAGTGGCACACACACACATCTTACTTGAGCCCAAGTCCGGTAGGTTCCCATCCTGTTTTACTGGATCGAAACCCTCCTGACAACTTCACTCAGGGGACCTCAAGTTCAATCCATCCGATTAGTACACCAGTCCTTCTTAAAGGGCTGTGAAGGATGACATATTATCATCATTTAGACAGGGTTTGCTGAGGGCATTTCCCTGTTTCGTCGTTCGTTTGTTTGTCTTATGTGTGCTCCTTCTGTGAGAGTTCGCCACCTATGAAAGCTCTCCCAGTCTCTATTGGCGACTAGGAGGACCTTCTCCCCCAGGTGGGTTGTCGTCTGTTGCTCAGTCCTTGTCTGAATCGCGTGTTGTATTCTTGTAACGTATTCTGAAAGAGAAATCTTATGATCTATGATTGTCTTGAATTTTTGCTCTTTCCGTAGTTCGATCACTCGCCCAGTAGCGACAGTTTGAGTCGGCTCCTTTTATGTCGGAGTGCTCGTTAGAGTTTTATTGACAGTTGACGTTTTTGCCGCTTATTTCTACACTGAGAAAAGTAACTTCAAAATATCTTGTCCCTTTGTGATAATAAAGATGAAAACTAAGTCTAAATATAATAAAAATGTATCAAAATGTGCCATTACAACCAATCAGATAATCAAATCAATCAACCACCATTAATCCATTGATAATTTACATATGTCAGTTTGACGTATTTGCCGCTTATTTACAGACATGCGAAGAAAAATGTGGAACCCTCATAAACAATGAACTCTCGCTACTGTATTATTACTTATACTGAGATTAATAATACAATATACGTGTATCTTTTTTTTTTTCATCAGTTTGTTGGAGTCGCTGTTTCACCGATGCGACCTTGAACGCCTTGTGTTGGATTCGGTTTATTTATGGTTGACCATTGAAATAAATAGCTTTGTTCGCAGAGCCTGTCTGCGACATGCCCACGACAGATGAACAAGCGCATTTCGATTTTAAGCGTTAGATTTTCGGCTCTACGAACACTTAAAATTAACGCTATTAACAGCTGACATTTTGGATTAAAATTGGTGTTTATAATTTTATTTGAATGTACCTATCAAAAGTAATCTGACGTAACCTCGTATCTCAAAAAACACTATTTTACAGGAGAGAGAAAAAACATTTTATTTGCTAACAGAATCAAAAATTTTGGATTATTTATTGTTAATCTGAAAGTTTTATTGCTTTCTCATCAATATATAAAGGTATAAATAAAGTTGAAAATAGTTGGCGAAAATAGTCTTTTATTTAAAATACTTAGTTAAAATACGTTTTTTTGGAAGTAATGTTGATAATTTAAAGCAAAAAAATTATTATTCACGTTTTTTACTAATTTTTATCATTATACATAACTTCCGACAATGTATATTATAAACTTTTCTATTATTTATTGCAACAAAAAAAAGTAAATAATTTTTATATCACATTTTTTTATCTACATTTAAATGAATATTTAAACAATAACTTATCACGATTCTCATCTATATTAAAATAAATATTTAAATAAAAACTTATCATTAAAAATTTTATGAACTTTCAATACCTTTAACTAATTTTTTAGCGAGTCTGCTTTTCTTTTTGGAGGCATTTTCTAGAAAAATTCGAAGAATGATTAATCAAAATAAATATGAATAAGTTGTACAACAAATTTGACAAGAGAGGTTAGCAATTGTGTCATCAAAGAAATTACCTGATATTTTATATTATCTTCAAAAATATTGTTCTATTAATGTTATATATTATCAGTATTTTAGAATCAGTCACAAAGTTTCGGAACAAATGAATATTACAAGAAATAAAAAAAATCTCAAAAAATTAATCCAAACCAGTCCAAACGTCATACGTTATTTTCAGCTTTTACCGTAGAAACCTAGAGGGCGTGACTGCATGATATGAGTTACGTGTTTTCAACATTCGGTGTCTGAGATACGAGGTTTTATTTTGTTAAATAAATGATTAACGGGTAAAGATTTTAATTTAAAAATATTCTGAAGATGAATTCGGGTTTAACTTAAAACCCCCAAAAATCGAGTTACGTGGTTACGTCAGAGTACCCTCGATATATACCTTAATTTGAAAACATGTATTTTTAAAAGGCCATTTTTTCGGTTTTTCCCACAATAGAACAATTATATAATTAAAGAATTCCTTAATTCTGCTTAATTCCCGCAATCCAGCTATCAGTTGTCACATCTAATCGGAAAAACCATACTTTGAAACGGACGCACACGTTATTCTGGTGCATCTAATTTTCTTTTTACAGGATGTACTTTGGTATTAACTATCTGGTGATATTTATAACATTTTGATCCGTAATTCGAAATCTTAAGGTACTAGTTCGATGGTCGCTGCCGACATATGCTGCAGGCGGCCGAGGCAAGCGACCAAGACGACGACTGGAGGGCTCGTTCGAAGCATGCAGGAGATAGGAGATCAGTGCTTCTTTTACTGCTGAGAAACGTGTTTAGTGTGTAGCATGTCTTACCTCGACGACTGCCGCCACGCCACAAACTGCCGCAACACAGGTACTGATGCAGACGCGGGCTCAAGATAGGGCAAGACACTTATTAAGCTAGTTGCTGTCTCGTCTATTAAACGGAATCTAATTTAATTTTCATAAAACGGTAGTGTCTCGGCCGCTTGCAGCTGCAGCATGTCTCTGCAGCGACCATCGAACGAGTACCTTTATGCTCGTAAAATGTCAAGTTGAGTTCTGCACACATACTTTGATTTTTTTACTATAAGGAGAATGGTCGCACTGCGCAGCTTTCTGAGTGCCTTTTAAAAGGAGATAGAAAACTCCGCCATTTTGATCCCTTATTACGTGTTGCCTACGTCTTGGCGCAATATTTTTAATAGGTGCGTTTTAATCATCCGCTTCTGCTTCGGAATTGTCGGTTTTCTTGTTTTATTCTGACAGGTTAAAACGATATTTTGCTTGCTGCTGTCAGTGTCAGTGAATATTATTTTTGGAGTCACAGTTTATTGCTAAAGAATCAGTTAGCTCACTCGGACCAGTTAAAAGTTCCAAAATAACATACACTCCAGCAGGGTTATTCTACTAAATTTATAGCCCGGCTACAAGTTGGATTTTGGCTTGAACTTTATATGTTCCTAACTTCAAAGTGGAGTCATAGCTTTTTCGTATTTTATTAAGCTTCTAGCACCCCAAATAAGGTGCCTATTAAATTTAAAAGTATGCTAGAAGTGTACACATATCCTGATTTTTTGTTTTATTGGAATTTGATGTGAGAGTTGTGAATATTTATCGGACAATTATAAAACAGCAAAAGTAAAGTGGAACAAACTTAAATAGAAAAATCTTCAGAAAACAACAGATAATTTAAAATTTAACAATTGTTTTCCACTGTTCAACGCTTTTTTGGGGACCCATTTCATTCAAGTTATCTGATAATTTTACCCACATTTCCCCTTGCATTTTTTTCCCTTGTATGCCAACAAACTTTCCTGTCGCAAATTTTTTATGATCAGACACGTAGTCTACTAAGTGGTTTAATTGAATTTCTGTACATCTCTGTCGTTTCTGATCCATTTTTAATCATAAAAATCTAATAATAAAATAGCAAAACACTGGTAGTAAACACAAGGTCTAATGAAGTATTGAATGGGAATTATTCATTCTTCTTTTTTGAAAAGCATTTAGACTAAACATCTATGTGCTATGAGCAAAATCATATAATTATTCTTCTTGATGTTCTTAGAACACAACGTTGCCAAACCTCACAGACTAATTTTCTAGTACTGTAGTTGTAGCCCTATTAAATTTATAGTCGGACTATTTCTAAGACTAGTAGAATATGGCTGGACTATAATTTAGAGTCTACATGTTTAGTATGCTAAACTTATAGTCTCTTTTATAGTTCCTTAGTAGAATAACCCTGCAGGGATACAAGTTCAGGATACGCAGAAGACTGCTGTTTTATTATAGGCGGTTGTCATATATTGTATTATCCGAATTGTGCAGTGTATAAACTGGAACATTGAGATCAAAAGTGCCGACGCAGAGTGAGCGATCTGATTCTTTAGCTATAAACTGTGGCATAGGAATCAAAATGGCCGCGCCCTATGTTGGGCGTGTCGGACCTCTCTCTTGCACCGTATAGTAATCAAAGTATGTGGTTGTGCATCACGACTCCTTTTAATATTTTCACATCATATCTAACTTCACATCACTGAATTACAATGATTTATCATGGACTGACGTTAGTTATGAAGTGAAAAGAGTAAAAGGAATCTACCTCCCGAACTCAACGATGGATTACAGTTAATACATAATAAATATTCATTAATTTTTTAGGTATTGCTGGTGATGATAAACAACGCTGCTATAGGAATAGTTACCAGTTTCTTCCTGAAGACACTGAATTCCATTTTGAAGACGTTCGCAAGCGCTCTGGAGTTGGTGTTCACTGCGCTGCTGAGTAATTTGTTGTTCAGTATTCCAATTTATCTGAATACCGTGTTAAGTATTTGTACAGTGATGGGTGCTACGTATTTATATACGCAGAATCCCGTGCAGAATCCTCCGAAGCCCGCGCCTCAGAAACAGGACGAAGAGTCGTTGCTTCAGATGGAGGAAGTGTGATGATGATGGTGATATTATGAAGACAGAGTTTATAGTTATTATTCAAATTTTATTGCTGAAAAGCCTGAATGTTTAAAATATAATAGAATTCGCTTTTTTTTAGCGGATTTTTATAGTAATATATTAGGAATTTTAACCTAAAAAATATTATTTTATTACAATTACCTACTAAAATTTGCTGATATATTTAAATGATATGGTAGGGGTTATAAGTAATCTAAAAACAACTATAATAAATTATGTAGAATGTAGATGATAGCACCCAAAGTGATAATATCCAAATACTTACCATAAATACATATGACGTAATTGCTTATATTCAGGGCCGTCGAGAGCCATGGTGGGGCCCCGGGGCAAAACATTGGCAAGGACCCTCGGCCACATATTATAATCTATTTTTTTTAGTTGCCGGATCCCGGGGATTTTGCCTAAAATTGATGTTTATCAATAATTTATAAATAATTTTTGATAGGTACATGCGCCACCTATATACTTACTTTTCTCAAAAGTTTGCAAACTGTTAGTGAATGTGATGATTGGTGATTATCTTCGAGGCTTAACAGGGACATTTTTATAATAATTAATTAGGAACATACATTAGAGGAAGTACATTTCCTAAGTAGTGTAAGTGTACAAGCTTAAAAGTAAAATTAAGAATTGAATAAAAACAAAACAAAAATACATTAAAAACACAAAAAATTAAGTACTAAGTCACTCGTTTTCAAATTTGAGGTCTTTTAAGCTTATATTGAATCTGTACTATAGTAAAACTTATTGTAGTTTAGGCAAGTACGGTCAGATAATCACCTTGCCCATCTTATTTGATTCGATGTTGTTTATTGTAGAATAGAGAAGTGTAACATTTTGGCGAGTAGAAGTCAGAAAGGTGATCTTTTTCAAAAGAATGTCGCATGAGATCACTACTCCATTGAAAGTTTAAAAAGAAAGAAGATATTGTTTTCTTCTTGCTTCAAGTGACTGCATGCCAAATAATAGCAAACGCGTTTCGTATGAAGTATTCTATGGAAAACGTAACTTGAAGAGAATATACTTCACGAACTTTCGTTGTACCCGATATGGCCTATGTAGATAGGCATTCAGACTACAGCGTACTATTCAAAAATACTTCGAACCAATAATGGCCTCGTTGTCATAAATGTAGCGAGTGCGCCGTTGGATAAAGCCATTGCTAGAATATATTTGAGGGTGACTCACTCATCTGCGAGACACACGTTATAGCCAGTTGACTACAATGCAATTCGCAGATGAGTCACACTCAAATAAAAATTGTTTTACTATAGTCAGTTTTGGTGAGAATAAATGTCATTTTTTAATAGCATAATTTAAATGATATTAAAACATTTTCATCCGTGAATAAAATTATTAACAAATTAATCAAATTACGACTCAAATCGCTATTTTGATTACACTTTTCCATCACTATTGGCACCGCTAAGTGCGTCCTATCTCTAGTCTTCATAGTGCGTCCATCTGCCATATATCGCAAAATAGTGTTTATGTCGTCTCGACTGCATTCTATTTCGATGGATGAATCTGAGCATTATAAATGCCTTGCAAACGATATACTCGATCGACATGTTGGTTAAATGTCATACCGGTGTCAAGGATGGTGCCAAGATCATTCAATGGATGAGACAATTGAATACCTGCCCGAACAAGGTTGTAATCAACAATATTCCAGAAACAATGCTAAGCATGAAAAAATGTCTTAACAAACAATATAGTGTAATCCTTACTACAATCTGCCTTAAAAAATATATTGTTAAGGAATATTTTAGCTTACAAAAGTTGCCTTGATCAGAACAAGGTAGTCCATCAAGAGCTTTGTTCTGAAAATGTAATTGTATTTTTTTTATGGTTACAACCTTGTTGGCTAATTGGTTCCTACCACAGCCAATAAATTAAAAAAAAAACCTTGTTTGGGGCAGGTTTTCAATTATCTAATAATATAACATTATCTACAATACAGGGTGTTCCATTAGTGCGTAATTGTTCGATATTTCAATTTGTGTTATCGATACACAAACAAGTTTTAAATAAAAGTTATTTGGATTTGAACAAGACATGTTTTAAAAATATTTTAAGATATACAGGGTGTTACTTTTTTTGGCCAATAAAAAGGTATCTTTTTAAATAGAACACCCTGAATTTGGTTTCAATTTTATAACCCTAGAATGTTTTTTAAAACATTTAAACCATGGTTACTAAATTTTTGTAAATTGAGAACACATTTCCACTGCATCCGAAACTGTAAGAATGAAAAATTACGCGCGAATACTATCACAGGCGTTTTTCATCATTGTACCAGAGACGAACTAACAAGAGAGGACGGTTAGAACTGCACTCCAATTTGAAAGAAAAAAAAAATTAACTCCATAGACGGCGGCAGATGCTTGTGTATGTTATCATACAGTTACGCTTTACGTGTCAACTAGTATTAATTGATTAATCCTCTGGTTTTATTTGATTGGCGTTACTTATTTTTATTAATAAAATTGACATACGACATAGAATGTGATACATTTATAAAAATTTCGTACATCCATGGCGTATCAATCCATTCCCATTTCGGTATGATCGCTGTCAGCAATTTCCCGCAAACAGGCAGGTAAACCAATTGTAAAATTTATAGTAAGACTTCATTCATGGACACTATTTTTGTTTTTCTCACTTGTCACATGTATGACAAAGATCATCCTTCTGGCTGGTTTTAGCAAAAGCAGAGTGTTGTGCATTTTATAAACAAAATATCTGCAGAGACATCGGACTAAAATGAATAGCTTAAAATAAAATTATTTAATTTAACTTTCTTGTGACGAGTATATTGAATTTTTATGGTTGTATAATATAAAGTCTGCCATCTCCCAATTTTTAATTTTTTGGGTTAAGTATCACATTTTATTATGAAATGATTTCCTAACAAAAAAAACGGCCATATCCAAGTTAAATTACCCTTATTATATTGCTGTTAGTTTCAAATGCAGCCTTGCGTTTAATAATAATACTGTTCCTAATTCACCCCCTTACGAGTGAATTTTAACTCCAAAAGCTGAGCATGTCCAGGGAAGGGACGGCTATTATTATTTGCCGTAGCGTTCCGGGAAGACTTAAAGATGATCGATGGTGCCATTTGACTTACAGGTAAGGAAAACCCCACCCACCATCATCGAAAGGGTAACGCATGGGGATTTTTTTAAATCAACATAAATTATATTTCTAATACAGCATCCATCAAATTAAAACCGACCTTCTCCAAACGACCAATAAGAAGCTTCAATTTTAGACCTGCATCATCGGGATCGGAAAATTTATTATTCGCGAGTTATATATACGGAAATTGTCCAGCTGATAATAAAACTGCTGACTAGAAGAAGACGGCCGAGGCTAATCATCTTTTCTTTAATAATATAATTTCATTATCTGTTCTAACGTCGTTGAATAAAGTCGTTATAAAAAGTTGTAAATTTGTTTTTAAAAAGCTATTTTTTGAATTATTACATTTAATTGGCGCAGTCAGTAGGATACACGCAGGTTTTTGGAAAAATATCGATTCACATCGTGATGGAAAGTAACTTTAGTAAATATTTCTTCTTGTACTTTTTTGTATTTTCAAAATTTTGTTTCATCCTTTCATGCATCCCTCTGAATAAATACTGTGCGAGTTTGGCATATAAATCCGAATGCCACACTCTCCCATTGATAAATTAAATGTATTTTTCTGGTGGAATGTATTTAAGATAGCTGAATCTTTCGATAAGTTGTTGTCTATTAGAAAGTATGGTTAAAATTCAACTTCACCTGTTACCACTAACTCTTATTTACGAATTTTCACCTAAAGATTCGCTCGTTACGGCTTGACCAATCACTCGTTACAGCTTGGTCAATCACCCGTTACATCTTGACCAATCTCTCGTTCACCACGGAGATCCGGACATCAGGTGTTATTATCTAGTGGTTGTTGAAGGTTGTTAGCTGTATCGCGGAAAGAAAAGGTGACGTAATCATCTAGTGGATTTCGGAACAATCGAGAAAGGCCCCAGAGACGGCTCTAGTCACAACAAAACAAATGGCTTGGACACAATGTTGAAGTTCAACAAAGACATTCAACGAAACTAAGTAGCGGTAAACCACTCCCGAAATACTGGTACGTTTTCACTCAAAATCACTACAAATTTTCTCGAAAATTCCAAAATTATGGTTGAAATCATTGCTGAAATCAATTCGTCGCTCAAAACCGTAAATGCCGAGAAAAAAGATCATTGTATAAAATTAAGGTGGATTTTCAGTGAAATCACATATGTAAAAAGTTTCTTTGTGATTTCCGAAATACAGGTACGTTTTAACCTTAGTGGTTCCCCTCGATTTTGGCCTTCATTTTGTTTTGTTTTGGCAGAAACTATTAGGAACCGGACTAAATATATTTAGCAAAAATAAGTTATATGCCTATTATCTGGTTTTGGTAGACACACTTAGCAATTGAACACAATCTTATGATTATGTTTTGGTAAAGATTCCACTCCATCTTGTTTGTGCTTATTGTTAATGTATTAATATCATTGATCTGGCAACCTAGGGATACGACATGCGTAAACGAAAAGTGGGACCGGTCCGCCATTACTGTGAGTGCAAATTGTCAAATTTTATAGGTTATATTTTTACTGTCATTTGTGTAATTAAATTTGAATTTAATTTGTGTTTGAGCAAATTTTGAGTGTTACAAACTTATAAAGTATATAATGCCTTGATGTGTTATACGTTCCTGATCTAGCGATAGACGTTTTTGTGAAAAATCGACTGGAATAACGTTTCATAGGTTAGTATCAAAATTATAAATATTATACAGGACAGTATTATGACACGTTTGTATAAAATGTGTAAAAGTATGCTTTTAAAAATACAAAAAAAATCATCTATCAACTTTTGGGCCTACCCATCTTGGAATAATACTTTTTCATACGAAATAATATTTATAGATTTCCAAAAAATCCTAAAAAACGTAGCGCGTGGATACAGTTTGTCAACAAGTATAATTGGTAACCTTCTAAATTCAGCAGTATATGTTTCAAGCATTTTCTTGAGAAGTACATTAATCGTACGCCATTTCGTTTATCAAATTTATAGGCATTTTATATTCTTATTTCTATTTAAATATAACCTACATTTGCTGTCCTTCCACCAATTTTATTTATTAGTTCTACAGCTGATTGAAAAGTAGAGCTTCATGTTTTGTGTATGCATGAGTATTGTTTGTTTTATTATAGTTAATTTATAACAATATTAATATACCTTTTTAATTACCTATAATTTGTTTCAGATTAGTGCGTTTAAAGGAATTGGTGAAAATGAAGTGATTCACCAACTTTGGGGATGTGCCAGAAAAGTGACATCAAAGTTATTCAACGGTTCCAGAATAAAGCATTAAGGAACATCATCAATGCATCCTGGTACTGCCACAATACTGATCTTCATAGGGACCTTAAAGTGGAGACTGTTGAAAATACAATACAAAAATTTGCCAGTAGTCACCAACAACAACTGTTCCAGCATGGAAACCTCGAGATTATCCAGCTCCTCAACAATGCCAAATCTTATAAGAAGACTCAAGAGACCAAGCCTTTTGAGTTAGTTCAGTGATGTTAAAGCATAGTATAGTGCAGTTAAGTGATTTAGACTCTAAGGTATACTAGATAGTGGAATATCAATTTGTGAAGTTTTTCATCCCTTGATAAGATAGAATAAAATTTGTAATTGATTTTAATGATTAGATTGTAATAATCGTATACGTTTCTTTACTTGGGGCATTTATTAAACAAAATGTTGCAAGGCGCACTATACAAACTTAAATATCACATTTTCAAAACTTTTGGTTTTTTATCAACAATAATTATAAACGTCAGTTGGCTACTCAGTACTACACTTGTCAACTACGTTTCCTTTTTATGATAAATTTAAATTAATAATATGCCAAAATAGTGTACCTTTAATGATTTTGTCATGAATATTCGCGAGCTGCTTGTATGGAGTATCAGTGACAATTTCCATACCGACAAGTTCCAAGGCACCAAACATTCAGTGCTATGTTTCGACATATTCCAACACATGGCATACTATGTTAATATATCTTTTGATATTTAAACTCTTGTAGCTTGGTAACCATGTAGAATTGGATATTTGTTCATAGGACATTTTATGCTTGAAATGAATTCAGGAATATGATATTTAAGTTTGTATAGTGCATATTATGAACATACTGTATATAAGTTCTTATAATAATAAATATTTAACATCAATACTCACTTAGTTTTTTTTTTAATGAGACTAGCAGCAAAACCATAACCGTTTGTCTAGTATTAAAAATAAATATCACTCATATATATGGATAAGAAAATATTAAAACTTTATTCCTTGTAAACTTTTATTTAATCACAGTACACATTATTTTCATTTACAATATTTGCTTGTCGTTCATATGCCCCAGTCTGTCTTGTTCACCTTTTCTAGTGGCTTTTTCTGCTAAACTTTGGTCCCTATTCTACCTTCACCTAGGTAATGAATTATTCAACCATTCAGTCAACAATGGGGTTTTACTTGTTTTACAGTAAGATACTTATCTGTAATGTTCAAGTTTTAGAATTTGAACTTGGATTAGGTAATTTTCGTCAATTTTGTTCTTAGAGCTTTTGTAAAAACAAAAAACACTTGGGATGGGAAGTACTCTCACAAATTTATTTCTTATTTTGCCTAGCGAAGAAATTGTGTATTAGGAAATATTCTGGTTTTTACCTCAGTGGTCAAGAAAAGCGCTTACAGTGGATACTTTTCTTAACTCGATAAACATTTATTACCTAGATGTTGGCCTCCCTTTATCACCAGCCTACAATTTCAACTCTTTTGCTGTTAACTTTAACTTCATCTGTGACTTTAACTATGATTGAGACTTCAACTTTATCTTCACATTCTTTGTCTGACTTTCAATTATACATGCATGATTATTGTGCACAGACCAATTAAATTGGACTGGCATGCTTGTGGTGCATGTTGTGTGTTACTACGGTAGGCCTTTACATAAGTAGCCATAATCTCTGCAGATGGTGAGAAGCCCAGCTCAAACCAACTACCATAATATCGTCATTAGATATATAGGTCTCAATTAAGATCTCTTCATGTTTTACATTTGTTAGAAGTGCACCTGCGCATCGCTGGTGTGGCTTCGCTGATTTACTGAAGGTCTTGCATGAAGATATACACCTTTTAGTCTGAATCTACAAAAGGACCAAGACCAAGTAAGATTAATCCACATTTTGATTTCCTGAATAATGCATCTACCTACACAGAGATTGCTTATTAGCCATTTTCCGCGAGCTTTGCATTAAGTTTCGTATCTGATTATCGAGCTTTTAGTGTATGAACATTTGTTCTTAATTTCGAGAAAGCTGTTAATTAAAATAAGGTTAGATTACTTGACATTTGCGACCTTGTACTTTCCGATTTAAAGACAGAAAGCATTGGGCTCATAGAAAAACGAAAAACTAAAGATTGGGCTATTTATGTGCCCTAGTGCAAACTTGTGACGACTGATCCAATAAATCGAACTCTGTTTACTTTTGTCGCTTATGTGAACCAAAAATGTACTATTTATTTTTTCTGTGAATGATTTCAACGCTTTAGGGTTAATTTCACCATTGTGTTAAAGTTTAAACTATTAGTTGAATATTAAAATTACATTTTATATAAAAATGTCATTTTAAACTTCGTTAAACCCAATGGTGGAATCCGCCCCAAATTATGGTCATCGATTAGTTGAAATTTCGCAAATAATATATTCTCCAGCGTTTAATAGCCACTTGAGTGATAATTAAATCAGTTATATTTTATTTCTTTCATTTACTTTCTTCAGCACCTCTCGGCTGAAAACCGGGCATATTTAAGCTTTTAAATCCCCTTCTTTTATTTACCTAGGCCTTCCACCACCTTTTAAGTCAATGTCTATAAAAAGGAAATTCATTTTTTTATAAAATTCAAATAATCAAAAATAGTACAATAAAAACTTGTAAATCCGGTTCTGCTCTTCCGCCATTTTAGTGAGTGCAAAAGCCACGCCTACCGGTCCCACTTTTGTATATCAAAAATAATACATATGACGTATCCTTACGTTGCCTTATCAATGATTAATATGCAGTTAGTTTTTAATGGCTGTTTATCATGAGCAGGCGCGGGTACAAGGGGGGGGGGGGGGGGGGTAATAGGGAAATTACCCCCCCGAGCTGCTCGAACAAATCCAGGAATTTATTAAATTGTAATCTAAAAACAACGAGATTTTACGGGAAAGCAAAAAAAAACAAGATGACGGAGATGAATGAAGAATAGAGAAGCACAGGCTGGCGTACAGTACTTTTTGTTATTTTTTAAATAAACGAATGATTCTCTGATAAAATTATCTACCCCCCCCCCCCGAAAAATCTTCCCAGATCCGCCCCTGATCATGAGTACACGTAACTCGAAAATTCCAAAAGTGGAACTATCTTGTTACTGCAGTAACCCCACAAAATTCCAAACGTTTATTTAAAAATTAGCGCGCTCTTTAGCGCTGCGACCAATAAATGTTTTCGTGCATTTCACTCAAGATTATAAAAACAGAAAGCTATAGTTTTAATAATTGTGATTCAGTCGCAAAAAAGCTTGGAGGGCCGCATGCGGCCCGCAGGTTTAGTATGGCTGATCTACACATTACTAGAAGGAAACAATCACTTTCTGAGTATTGTAAACATGGGCTCCAGGCGATAGCCCTTTGGGAGTACCTAATAAATATATTCTTCTTCGTCTTAGTGTATGATGACAATCTTAAACAAATGCAAATTTGTAGTTTGAGCAATAATTTAATTAATTTATATTTATCCAGATCCAGAGGCGTTTTGAAGTTATCACACCACAGATGTAATTGTATCTCTATATTTTTTGGTCATGGCCTAATATAGGAAAACATTTTGTGGATCAATTGTTCTTTTCAATTGACATCATGTTGACCATAATAAACAAACTACATTATGGTAACATGTATTAAATGACGTCAATTTGCAAACTTTCGAGACCGGTACAATTTTAGAAATGATAAAGTGAGCTAAATGCAAAGTTAAAATTTAACCATATTTTAGATTTGCTGATTTTATTATTTTTAGAATGGCAAGACGCAAATATTCTCTAAATATGGCCAATCACGACCCTTAATGAATACACTACTTAAGAAAAAACGCAAATGATAACTAAATTTTTTTTCACAACATACTATACAAAACAAATTTTAACTCAAGTTTCATGCTTCTTTCCAAATGGATTGATTTTCTGAAGCCAAGAAATTGAAGAACTTCCTTCCCTGAAAATAATATTTATAAGTGGCACAAAATGGAGCACTTTAGGGAAAGCAAATTGATGTTAAAGGAAAAGGCTGCATATGATTTTAGAATGGATACTTACTCTAATTCTTTCATTTTCGTTTCATTAAGAGAAGCAGCTTTCAATTTTTCTATTAGTTCTGCTCTGAAAACGTGTTTCATTGGCACGATTTTAGCTTTTTCTTCAGCTTCCATTTTGTGTTTTAAAATGTTACAAGCTTCTGTTAATGAATATCCATACCATTCTATTTCTTCTGGTGTATACTAAAAATAATAATTCTCTATTTGTAGAAAATAGATATAGAAATGTACCTAATTTTTAAAACAGTTTTTTGATATTCTTATTAGTGTTACAATGAGGAGGTTGTGGGAAATTTGCATTTATAATTACAAGAAGATCCTAAATCTTTCTGGAAGTTTATAAACAACAAACGCTCTAACCACAATTTGCCCAGTTCCATGTTCTGTGGCAATCAAGAGGCTGTATGTGGCCAAGATATTGCAAATCTATTTAGGGACTTCTTTCAAACTATATACACTATTAGTGATAATACTAATGATGTAACTAGAGACAAGAGCCTAACCAACAATATAAGGAGTAATGTAATATCAAAATCTGACATCTTCAATGAAATTTTAAATATTCCAAATAAGTTAACATCCGGTCCAGATGCTGTTCCTAACTTTTTATTAAAGAAATGTGTTTGCACAATTGTTTTACCCTTATTTTTGCTATTTAACAAATCATTGGAATGTTCTATTTTTCCTGAGATCTGGAAAGTAAGCAATAGTGTTCCTATTTTCAAAAGTGGGGAAAAGAACAACATCGTGAATTACCGTAGTATCTGTATACAATCTGCTATACTAAAATTATTTGATTGCCTAGTTAGCAAACAACTGACTTGGCAATGTAAAGGCTTTAATCTGTCAGAAACAACATGGTTTTTCCCAGAACAGATCAACTGTTTCAAACTTAACAACCTATCAATTAAATGTTCTTCAAAACATGGAAGACAAAAAACAAACCGACTCGATCTACACAGACTTTTCAAATGCCTTCTATCGAGTAGATCACAATATTTTGTTAAATAAGTTGCTTTCAGTTGGCTTCAACTTAGGCTTTGTTTTGTGGTGGGAAAGCTCATTGACTGATTGTATTCAAAGGGTAAAAATAGGTTGTTACTACTCAGATACAATGAATGTTACATCTGGTGTACCTCAAGGGGGCCATAGCTCACCTCTTCTTTTTAACATTTTTGTGAATAATATTGTTGGTTGTTTTGTGTACAGCCAATGTGCCAAGTTTGCTGACAATCTCAAGTTTTGGAGAACAGTAGAGAACATTTGTGATCAAGAATTCCTTCAGGAGGATTTGAATCGCTTAGTAGAGTGGTGTAATAAAAACAAATTGTACTTAAACGAAAATAATGTTGCTATATAAGTTTTTCCTGTAAAGCTGTTAGGATAGCAACAAACTATTTTATTAATGATCACCAACTTGAATACAAATCAACAGTAAAAGATCTGGGTGTCATTTTTGATGAAAAACTAGTATTTGTTGAACATATAAACTCAATCTCTATTAAAGGATCAAAAATGTTAGAAATTGTAAGTACTTCTCTACTGATGCCACCAGAATGGTCTACTGCTCATTAGTTAGATCCATGCTTGAGTATGGCTCAATTGTGTGGTCACCATTTTTTCAAATTCATTCTGATACTTTGGAAAGGGTACAACACAAATTTTTTAGAGTATGTGCAGTTAAAAGTAATGTCAGGATTTCAGATCATGATTATAGTGCTATAGATAGAAAGTCAAAATAAATTTGCCTCCTTTAAGGGAAAGAAGAGACATATTTGGCTTAATATTTTTATTCAAAATTTTAAATGGAATTATAGACTGTCCTTCTCTTTTGAGCGGGATTAGCCTAAATGTTCCTTATTACCTTGGACTGAGATATCCATTAAAATTTAATATACCATTTCATAGAACGAGCTATGGCGTCAACAGTCCTATTGACAGATAATTGTCTATGTTGAATAATCTTAATTTAGATATTTTTAATATGGGATTAGCCAAATTTAAAACCAATTGTAAAAATGTGATACATGTTCCTTAACTTATATTTAACGAATATTTAAATTCACCTTAATTAATTACTGTAAAAACTCACTTTTGTACTTTGTTTTGTTTTAGTAATGTTATTTTTCTACCTGCCTTTTTATATTGTAAATTGTATAAATTTCTTTAATGGGGTTATCCCGTATAATAAATAAAAAAATAAGAGCTATGTACAATAAATCAAAAGTAAACTACTTACTGCTGATAAATATCCTTTATATTCATCTAAAACCTTTCTTTGCTTTTCAGGCCTATCTGCGTAAGCTGGGCAACCATTTTGTAATTCTTGTAGAATTTTTCTTTTAAAAGAAAGGGCCAACATCGATTGCAGATCACATGCTAAAGACTATCGGGTATATTAATTACAAAAAACTAATCCAGATCTACAAATTATATAATTTACCTTTAGTAAATAATGATCAAACCCATAATTGGCATGAATTAAACTGACAGCTCTATCTGTTACAACAACAGATATATATTTATCTAAAACTTCAGAATATACAACAGATCTCTTCAATATGGGTACCCAAAAATGAGGAACTCTTCGTTTGCGTTTATCACGTAATTGGAAACCTTGTACGACTCCTTCACCACCCCATAAATGATCATTAGATTCTTTAGGATAAAAAACGGGTAATGGTACATTTTGAATTGGTAAACTAAAAAGTAATATGTTTAATTAATATAAATTCAAACTGATATGATTAATTTTAATACATACACTTCTCCTGTGACTTCATTTCTCTTCCATCTGCCAGTTTCTGGTACATAATGTACAGCAGTAGGTTCAGTTAGTTTCCATTCTTTAAAGAACTTCTTGTAAGCCTGCGGTAGTAACGCCGCTATTCCTTTATCCAATGCACTAGTTTTTTGCAATAATCCCAATGTTTTCCAGGACTGTTAAATAGAAGATTAATTTCAATTACCTAGATACTTACATATGTTACTAGATAATCCTAGAAATTTACCTTTGTAGCCATAATAATCAATTAATTTTTAACTTTCTATTCACATTAGGTAGACGAAATTCAAAATTTTTAGTTAATTTTGGTTTCTGTTTCTGTCACAATTTTTTTTTAACCTAACTTTTGCAATCAGTCCTATAAAAAAGTTTTTAAACAACATGCAGGTGCGAGCAATATAATGCATTCATACTTCGTATTTCTTCGCTTCTGTTCGTTGCTCTTTCTGATTCTGACGAAATGTCCTAAAATCATAAATTTTTCCACCACTATCCAGGCACTATTGATTGGTAGAATCGATTTTTGAAATCGATCTTTATTTTTAAATTTTAAATGAATAATTTTTTAGAGGGTAAAGACTGAATATTTAGGATTAGATTATGGTGAAAGAATTGGGGGAACAAACATAGTAGAGATGATCTACGAAAGGAAATGATAATCCCACAATTTGATGGAGATGACTGAGGGAAAAAAACGACAGACTTACAGCTCTGTTGGGGAGCATGGTTTGCCACACATTACTTAGGCCTAACGGTGCTCATTGTGCATCCTCCAGGGGTTACATGTAGCTCGTAAAAATCCTGCCACCAACGACGCCGAGATGTGTCTTCTTGTCCTCATGTTTTTAGTACAACGGGCATTTTATTTGGCCCAAAGTGATCATTTTTGGTCGTAAATTTTTAGGAAATGCCAACAATAACAAAACTTTTTGTAAACATTCGAAAACTATTTATTTTGATAATTTTTAAAAGGAATTAAAAAAAATACGAGACAATGGGGTCTATTCTGTAACAATTCCTTTACATTTAACGGCCTTTAAAAATATCGTTAATTTACTTCTGTCATTATTTAAACAGATTTTTTTAAGATATTCCTCTAATGTATTTTAAAGATTCGTTTCAATAATGACAGAAGTAAAGAATAAAATATTTTTAAAGGCCGTTAAATATAAAGGAATTGTTACAGAATAGAGCTTTGCACAAATTTAAAGCTCTCAATATTCTTAAGACAAACAAAACATGATTAAATACTGTTAATTGTGATAGGAGTGTTCTCCCCGCGATGATTAAAAAAATATCGACATGATGATGACTCAATTTTTCTTATTTACATAATAAATCCGAAGCCTGACACTCTTTTACCAGAGATATTCCAAAACATATTTTCTTCATGCTACTCGAGGAATCGATTCATATTCGATTTGTAAATTATTCAATTAGGAAATTTCGATTCCGCCCATCCATAACTTTCCATTAGATTTCGGGATTGTCTCGGTGCCTCCATAGCCAGTAACGTAAATATATCTTTCAGCTATTTGTCGATGAGATGGCTAATTTTGTAATTATAGTGACAAAAATGAGTAAATAAGTTATGGTTAGACATATTATTGGAATATGAGATGTATTTTCCTATGAGTGCAATTATTTTTTTTTAATTTTATTACATAGCCGGGACCTGTAGTCGAATCATTCCAAGTCCCTTTCCAAAATTGTCAATATGTCATTTTGGCTTGTCATCTGTCGTTAGTTCTTTTGGTAGTTGTGTTTTTGTTTTAGTTGATTTAAGGGCTACGGCATTTGCCTCTCCTCAAATGGAAATTAGGTAATTAAAATACATTTTTTCTCGTTAATACAGTTATATATTCGATATCGTTTGCATGTTAAATGTAAAAACACTCGGAATATTGATAACTTTTCCAATGTTCGGAGCTGGTCTGTCAACCGACCCTCTAAACTAAATAGTCTTTGTTTCTCAACGTCTATTCCAAAATCGAAAGTAAGTGGCTTATTTCGAGGTTTTTAGCCGAAACCATTTTATATAAACTCATTATTGATAGAATAATCCTTCGCGATCCAGTTTTTCCGATATCTGGGCAGCAGCCATGTAAACCTTCTGCACAACTTTTATCGTAGTAAGGACCTGGAGCTTGATAATTTCCACCTACTTACGATGCATTAATAATATTTCCAAAATTATTTGTTATATCCGATGAACTTTTAGTGCAATATGCGATTTGGCGACCTACTTTTTCAATATTTTTTTTATAATTTGCTTGAGGGGTTTTACCATCACTGATCAAAAAATTAGTAGGTACATTCTTATTATTGTAAATTCGAAACTTGTTAATTGAAGTTTTTCGTTTATTGACGATATTTAATTCAGTGTATACGAGGGTAATTCAGTAAATTATTTGTAAATATTGTTGATATTACATAAAATGCCATTTGTGAACAAGCAAACCTCCAGTAATTTTTAGATGTTAATAATTATATAATTTCCTAATGCTTATAGAAAGATTATAGAAAGCATCATCTCCTTTTTTTTCTTTATCTCAAGTTATGCATGAGTATGAATGCTTTTATAATCAATAAAATATGGTGAAATAATCATCTTGTGCCTGTCAATGATAAACTCTTTACATAGAGCCAAATTGTATTTATTTTTGCAAAAAAAGATATATATCATCAAATGGATGATTAAATATGCATATATACAACATACCTAGGTATAATAGGTAAAGAAAAGCACACAGATTAGCTTTTAAATATTTAAAAAATATTCATGTTCAATTGGAAAAATTTTAGGGACATGATAATAATTTTCGTTGGTATACTACATTGGATTTGTTATATAACTTAATATGTATAGATTTGTATGAATTTTAGCAAAATTTACAACCTTAAAAGAGGCATATTTTTGACAGATTGCATATTATGCTACTGTCTATACACTTAAAAACATTTTACAAAGTTTGAAAATATACACTTAAAAACATTTTACAAAGTTTGAAAATAAAGCATACCAATAGACAAAGTAATAATTGTAAAAGAACTAATTAATAGTTTCTAAAATCATTATAAAAATTTTCATTAATAAAAAATGTGTGTTTTAGAACATTTCACAATTTATTTTGGCCTGTCATTGTTGTATTTTCCAATATACTAATTTAGAAAAGTTTAAAAATTATCAGAATTGTTTTGAGTTCATAGCTATATAAATTGTAAAATCAAAGAGAAAATCATGTAATTGTTATTTTTGTATGTTACATATATCATTAGATTTAGCATCTCTAGAAATCCTATATGCTTGTTGATATTTAAAGAGATGGTCCCTGGATATTTATTTAACTATTCATAGTTCAAAGTCCATTAGTATTCAAATTTAAAATAATAGAAGTTTGTAAGGCATTCCTAGGTCTTACGTTCACTTATAATATTATTTATTTTTCGAATTATAGTCTCTGCCTGTCTGAAATCTGCAAATTTTTTATGTAAGTTTGATAAACTATTTCTAAAGTGTGATAATTCAATGTATTGTGGTACTATGTAACATTAAGACTCACCTCTTCATTTTTAATTTAAATACTAATCTTATTTATATATGCACTTCCTTCCCATGCCAATGAAATATTTATAATTAAAGAAAAATATTTAAATTACAAGACAAAAGAAACATACTAGCAAATTTTTGTCTCTTTAATATGATTACAAGGCAGTTAAAATTGACTAAGTCAGGTATTTAAACTTTAAAATGTTTCGTTTCCACTTGATATGTGACAACTGCTGCATTAAATGTACCCTAGGACAAAAATAACTGCAGGAGTACTTGGCAGTGCATAGTACATTGGAAATATTTGGCAGTAGATAGTTTTGTGTAAGCACTTATTCCATTTTCATTATTGTTTCAAAGCAATGAAACGTGGGTGTTGTTTATTTGAAAACAAATTTTCTTCGTATGCTCAAAAAATTAAGTATTTCATTTGTTTAATAAACTATTTGAATACGTCATTAGAATTGAGTTAATGTGATAAAATTCGAAAGAAGTTACGAAAAGTTAGGGCTAATTATAATAAAAATGTCTTAGATCTAAGCAACAACATGATGGATTTGGTGACTTTATCCTTTTTTTCTTTATAAAATTAAGCTATAGTCATAGATCCTCTTAAAATGTTTCTAAAATTGCAAGGAAGCTTCCCTCTAGCAAATATTTACCATGCACTACTTTTTATATTAATTACAAATTCTAAAGGATGTGTTAAGACACAATATATTACAAAACTTCTATACAACTTCTATACAGATGACTTTTATTAAATTTTAGAGCCTGTGCCATCTACCATGACATGACCTCTTGGTGTCATGGTAAGGACAACCAAAAACAACTACTAGTTTATTAGATTAATTAGCATTTTTCTCCATGTTTAAAAATAAACAAAGGACCAACTTTTATCAATTTTCTGAGAAATCAACAATACAAAAAGTTGTCTATATGGTGACGACTTTTTTACTCATTAAAATTAAATGATGTAGTTTTATTTGGGGTCAGATTTAAAGTATTTTAAAAACTGTGTTAAAATGACCTGAAGACATGTTATGGTAGTGCCAATAACCTAATAGCATTCAGCAGTACTTAGTAGTGCTTGGCATTACCTAACAGTACTTTAGCAATGCCTAGTAATTCCTGACAGTACATAGACAGTAGCATATTAAATCAGGTAGTACTTCCATTTGGTAGTAAATGGATTTTAGAATAGTTCAGACAACTCTCATGAACGTCAGTTAGGAGTTGTGAAAATTATGTGATTATGAACTAGATAACAGTATTTTTTTTTATGTGTTTACTACATCCTACTGCCTGAAACCAGATGAGGCTGAAGCTAGCAGACAAACCGCGCGGCGGTCCCCAAATGTTTTGATGTTGTTATTCGGCAAAATCTTTGATTTAGGTGGACTTTAGTATCATGAAAGTTTAGAAATAAATAAATATTAGTGTATTTATTGAAAAAAAAAATGGATTATTAATTAAAATAAGATAATCTTACACAAAGACGGGGAAGAAACAAACAAACACATTTACAATAAATATAATTTTTATACCAAATATTCATTAAGTTTTTGTTAATTGAATAAACAAACAATTATGGCCGAACAATCATTTAAAATATATTTTTTTGGTCTTTTTAAAGTCAGGTGTTTTGTCGTCAAACGACTATAAGAATTAAGAGTCCAAAAAAACACATTTAGCATGAGATTACAAATACAATTTTTATACCAATAATTTAGTACACCACTAGCTATAAAACAAATAAAAAATCATTAAATAGCAAGACCTCTAATTACATTTTTTAGATCTTGGGTGGTTTCGCGGAAAAACATTATTCTACCAAAATAT